ATTGTACCCAGAAGGTGCCTGCTCACACATTGTCTGTACTGTTTTAGCAGTGAAAAAGAATACCCACAGACAAGGCACGGGTGGTGGGTCACCAAAGGCTGACCTTACCCCAGCAGAGGACATGGCCTTGGAGCTAAATAAAGGCAGGCCCGTCTTAGAGGGGATCCCTGGGGGGAAAGAGACGAGCATAGGTTCCTCCCAAGATGCCACCCGCTTCATTCAAGGTATGTCCTTCCATCTCTACATGGGATACAACCACATTCATATTGAATCAATTTGGACTGTCTGACTTTGGTTTACCTATTGCCTTGCAGTGTCTGGCAGCACTGTGTTCCTGTTAGAGCCACCAGCACAAGCACCAGACGATGCTGATCCAGTGAGTACTCCATCAAAGGCATACTGTAGGCCTGGCATGTCTTGTCTACTAGCTTCAATATGAATCCGATTAAATGTGATAGGGTGAAGGCCCCAGTGCAGCAGCAACGGCACATGATGGAGACGATGATGAGGAGGAGACCATCTCTCTGGATTCCAGAAGGCATGAGGTATCATGTTAAGACTGTGAAAGTACTATTTACTCTACAATGGTGAGGAGTCCTCATCAAAATCAAAAAATCTAATTTCTTTTACAGGACCCAGATGCTATACAGTGGGAAAACCAGCCTGGCAACATAGTGCGTATTAATAAAAGGACACCACATCCTGCCAAATTCCAGCTGCGCTAATTGTATTGTGTTCACAGAGCTCACAAGCTATCAGAAAGTTGTATGGCAACCACCTCCGGCGCCAAATAGAACTGGCAGACATAGACATTCAGTACAAGAAGAAAAAGATGGAAAATCTTGCACTGGAGTCCGAAATAAAAAAGAGGACAATTAGGAAACTGGACCTTGAAATAAAAAAACTTGAGAGGGAGGTGAGATATGCCTTCAATGTACACTGTATGCTAACTGTAACACAAATGTATTAATCATTATTTTTCTTTCCTCCCCCAGCTCCAAGAAGATGACACAGCTCAAAATATAAATTAGGTATATTCTCGTAAAGTCAAGTGAGCCATGACATATGAGCTCTTATTGTGAGCACACAGGACGGTGGCATCTTTCTAAGGTTTTTTTTATTTTCCCAGCAATCAGTACAACCAAGTCATCGTTATAAGGCATCGCCCTCTTTTGCCCACCCCCCCCAGCACCAGGTGTGGCCACTAGCCTATATGAAGGCCCAAAATTGTGTGTTCCTTTCTGCTCTGACAATGGCATGCCCATTCGTGCGAGATGTGGTGGATGAAGAAGCACTTGTGCTGAGGAGAGCCTTCAGGCGAGAAAGCGTCTTCAGGGACCGGTTGGACCCACTGGCCTTCCCTGATGACCATCTATATGAAAGATACAGGTTTTCTGCAGATGGCATCAGGTATCTATGCAGACTACTGGGTCCCAGGATTAAGCACCGCACTGCACGGAGCCATGCACTGAGTGTGGAGCAAATGGTTTGTGTGGCCTTGCGCTTTTTTGCTAGTGGAGCCTTCCTGTACTCAGTGGGGGATGCAGAACAGCTGAACAAGGCCACAATTTGCCGCACAATAAGGAGTGTGTGTCTGGCTATCAAAGCATTAGCAGATGTCTTCATCTCCTTCCCTGGCCACAGAAGACTCTGTGACATCAAAGAGGAGTTCTATAGGATTGCAGGTAAGAGGATCTACAAATTACAGGACAACTGTTAACACATAGTAGGATACTCATTACTTTGTGTGACAGGTTTCCCCAATGTCATTGGTGCAGTGGACTGCACACACATAAGGATAAAAGCCCCCTCAGGTGCCCATGAGGCCGATTTTGTGAATAGGAAATCCTTTCACAGCATTAATGTTCAGGTGAACATAACTTTTTGATATTGTCCATTGACGAACACTCTGCATTGCCAGTGATGTGCATTGATTGGTGTAATATTCCTCATCTTATGATTTCAGATGGTCTGCAATGCTGACTGTGTGATCAGCAATGTTGTGGCAAAATGGCCTGGCTCAGTCCATGACTCCAGAATCTTTCGGGCCTCTGAAATCTATCAGTGCCTATCACAAGGTAAGCCACACAACCCCTATTTATAACCATCATGGCTGTGTCAAGAATATCACTGTGTTTATGAGGTAGTAATGATGAGATTTTGTGTTGACAGGTGAATTCTCTGGTGTGTTGCTGGGAGACAGGGGGTATGGCTGCCAGCCTTTTCTCCTGACACCTTTCACAGACCCCCAGGAAGCACAGCAGGCCTACAACCATGCCCATGCCAGGACCAGGGCCAGAGTTGAAATGACCTTTGGCCTCCTGAAGGCACGCTTTCACTGCCTTCACAAATTAAGGGTCAGCCCTGTTAGGGCATGTGATATTACTGTGGCTTGTGCTGTCCTCCACAATGTGGCCTGCCTGAGGAAGGAGAGGGCCCCCAGAGTGCCACCAGCCATGGACTGGGACAATCCGGCAATCTTCCCTGATGACGACAGTGGTCTGCTGCTGAGGGACCAATATGTGTTGAATTATTTTAGTTAGTATGTGTGCTTTCAATTTTGGTTAAATATGTCCTGCGGTGGCAGAGGAATTTGGGTTTTTTTGGGTTCGTTTTTTTACGAATTTGGCCTCTTATGATGTTTGTGCGGTATACTGTGTGTAATACAAGGCTGCAGGGAGGCTACTGCATCCATTCATTTGTCTGTTCAGTTGATGTGTATGGATTTGTCCTGCATTTATTTTAGTGTGCAGACATGCAGGGTGTGTTATATACAGACCTTTGAATGTGTATGTATCATTTTGTATAATATGCTTGGATTCTGTGCTTTCCATCTTGTAGAGTCACTGTGACTTCAGTTTCGAAAGGAGCTGATGGTTTACCTGCTTTGTTTTGTCCTTATTCAATAAAGGAACATAATGTTACACATTGTGTTTTTTATATTCATATGGAATGTGTATTTGTTTATATGACAGAGTACTAGGGCCACACTGAAGAAAAAGGATAAAGTAATAAATTTATGAGGCTGGTTCTTTCTGCAGAAAAGCTACATATTGTTTTTACAGTTTTGATACTTATGACAATGTGATACTTAATATTCTGGCACATCAGCATGTCTTTGTTTATGAAACCATACTGAAGTACAATTTCACGAAATGCCCCACATCTGTCATTTTAACAACTGTCCTCCTTTAAAACAACTGGTTACAATATTATGACTTGTGTTTTTTCCCCTCTGTGGCCCTAATATTCTATCATTTTATATATAGCCTTATAGTCTATGGGAAACTGTAAATTATCTAATGATAGCAACATCATCTAAAAATCATTTTTTATCCAAAATCATTGAAATTAATGATCACAAACGTTTAAATAATGACAGTGGGTCTAGTTATATGTGATAACAATGTATAGTGAGCAGTGAAATAACTATTGGTTTCCATTTGTGGTGACTGCTGACTGACATTAGGGATGAGATTAAATAGATCCTGGAATTTAGCCTGGTCTGGAGCAGGCTAGCTCCACAGAATAAATCTCCATGGTAATTTATACCATAACATATCCTCCTGCCCCCTATCCATCTTTAGTGCAACCGGATTACGGATCAATTGAGCCAGGATCACCAAGATATCCTGGCTTAATCCCTTATCCTAGTTTTGTGCAACAGGCCCCAGGTTGGCCTACAGACCAAAGCAATGGATCAGACTAGATTCGCGTTAGCCCCGCCCACTGACTTTGATGGGTCAGTTTGACAGTTTTAAGTAATTCATGAATCACTCCAACGCAGGACCATGAAATGTAAATGTAAATAGTGAAATAATTATATATGTATTTTACATAAAATGAATCGGTATTTGAATTAATTAATGATACATTTAATTACACATTTATGTATTTAATTCTAATTTTAATTAATTAATGACACATTTAAGTAATTATTTAATGGTGTATTTATTTATTTAATTGTGGCACTTTTAGTCCTCCATAGAGATCAAAGTCAATATTCAGACCACTAGGGGTCAATGTTTTTAGATGATATCCAGTAGGCCTTCCTCTGTAGTAGTAGGATCTCGATGTTACCTCCTCTCCTTGGTAGAGGAACATGCTCAATGCCTGTGTATTTGATGGAAGAGATAGGATGGTTAGCTTCAACAAAGTGAGCTGCTACTGGATAGTCAGTGTTCTTACACCTGATTGAGCTGCGGTGTTCAGCTATGCGTTGTTTTACGTGTCTTTTTGTTTGTCCTACGTAGGCTTTCTCACATGAACAGGTGAGATAGATTACTCCCTTAATTTTTTCAGATGAAGCATAAATTGGCTTTTACAATGCTGTGGGCTCCATATAGCGCTGCATTGGCATGATTGGTTGACAGTAGGTGAGGGCCAGAGGTCCTGTATAAACACACATTCACTTCCTTGACAACTTCCTTCATAACAGGTCTTGTGCTGCTCCACTAAGAGCAAGACATATGAATGCCCTGACTTCTGCAGAGGCCGTATCATCGAAAATGCTGCACGGCCAATGCAGAAGTCGGATTGACCACACAGCGCCTTTAAGAGTTGAATACCCCTGCTCTTCAGGTTAAAAATATTGAACAAGATTTGGCCTAAAAACTACAACTCCCATGATTCTCTGAATGAAAAAACGACTATAGGCTAAGGAAGTTGACAAATGTTTTACAGAAACAAAACTTGATATGCACATGATAAACTCTATTGTAAGACCTTTTATTAGACACTACCTAAATAAATGCCCTATAGAAGTTACATTTATCCATTATTTGACCCGCGTTTAAAAGCTAAACAAACACGGTTGCGTATCATTTTGGGTCCACGTGGTTTGAGAGTTGATATGCTGCATTCAGGTGCTAGTTGGAACTAGGAAAATAGGAAATGTCCGACTTGTTACTGGTTGAACGCGGCACTTGTATAACTACAAGCAGATGCAAGTCGGAAATTTACGAATTGCTAGTTTCGACTAGCACTTTAACGCTGAAATACTGTGGGCAAGGAAATTACATCTGGACGTGGGCTCTGTCATCAAAAATACTAACCAGGCACTGCAAAAGATACATGTGAGTTTGGCTTTAATAGACTTCAACTAAGTTGTTTTTATGAGAACTTCCAGTGTTGCACGTGTGGTCACTGAGTCAAAGTTTTACCATCGTGATGCGATGCTAACTACAACTTGGAATCATGGGGAAGTTGGCTACCTAGGTAAAATACAAGAACACGGCTAATTTCGAAAGAGGATGATTTTTGTTACTATTTTTGCATGTGGCTGCTAATATATAGATACGTCAATGAACTTAATAATATGCCATTTAGCAGACGCGTTTATCCAAAGCGACTTAGTCATGTGTGCATACGTTTTTAAGAATGGGTGGTCCCGGGGATCGAACCCACTATCTTGGCGTTACAAGCGCCATGCTCTACCAATTGAGCTACAGAGGACCACAACTTGTTAGCAAACGATGACAGTGAGTGTGGCTGAACTCAAAAGCTGTAACTAGTTGGCTACAGTTGTAGCTAGCTAACTATGTAGTTTAACTTTGCTTGTGGAGCCATTTCACACACATTTGTTACATTGTAACCAGTGGGATCATTATAATTTTTTTGTCATATCCAGAGCGACTTACACTTAGTGAGTGCATACATTTTTCATACTGCCATCACTGGTCAGCAAACTTAGTAACAAAATTGCTCGTTGCCACCCTGTGTTTTTAGGACTGATTGCATCAATTGTGCTAAAAACATGATTTGTACATTTGAGCAAATTATCTCTTCAAAAGTTCTGTCCTCTGTAAATTAATAGTCCCATTGCCTCGTGAGTCACATGAGTGAGTGATTCCAATCAAAGGGAGCGAGTCGACTAATTGGAAACCACGCGCATCGTGCTACTCACATTATCTATTGCGTTGTATGGAAAAGCACATATTTGATAGTCTGCTGATGTAACCTAGATACGGTACATACTCCTCAGGAATTGTATCAGTAGGCTTATAGGGCATTCCAGGGGGGTCATGGCTAGAAGGGATCCAGCTTTTGTCAAATTAACGTAAAAATGTGTTTTTAACCAAATTATCCTGACCTGCAACGTTAATTATCCTAGCCTGCTGCTTAAGTTCTCCTAACCTGCCATGAAAAGTAAAATCTGATGTTAATTTGACAACTGATCCCTTCGAACCATGACCATCCAGGGGCGCATTCAACAGGATTAAACATTCAGATAGAAATAGGCGAAGTAGATCAAACATGCCTCTATGTAGAATAAGAAATCACATAGGCTCTATTCATGGCATTTCTATCTGCAACGTTCGATAAAGTTTGGCAACTGGGTAAAATGGGAGATAGGACTGGTTTAAACTCTGACCCCTTGGTTTGTTTGTGTTGTGGGGAGTATTGATTGGGGCAAAGGCATACCCATCACTTCTTCAACCCAAATATAAGCCATCTACAACAGTGATAGCGAACTTTGATGCGGGTGGGGGCCACAAAAAATATGAACTCATAATCAGGGGCACAGTTGCTTGAGGGTCTGCATACCTACATCCCCCCCTACATACAACACAAATGTTTTGTAAGTGGGGGCCTCCTACCCTTGGGGGGTCCCCCCCCCCCCCACCCCCCCCCCCCCAATGACTATCAGTGATTGATTGTTCAAGGTAGAAGAAAAAACTGCTGATCATAACCAAATGTTGAAATGGCACTTGTGTATTCATACTCTAACTCGCAACAGTAAGTTGAGACCCCGACATAGTTCCCAATTTTGGAAATTGATCCGAGGCCCTAGGGCTGCCCACTACCCATCCCTTATGTACAACGTCTTTCTGAGGCAAATTAAACGCATACAGTATTCAAGGGGTTGTACAATTTTTGTCCCCCCAACCTATTTCTACTGTCATTAACACACCGCTACATCATGTGTCGCTTAAAATGTTTTTTACGCAAAGGAAGCATCGTCTTTAATGGGTCCCTACACAGAATGGGCTCTTGGACAATGACAACTAATTGGAGACAGTTTTTTATGGGTGGCAGTGTCCCTACCAATGTGACATATGAATAGGTGATTTAAGTGCTAGGCCCCAGCAAAAGGTCACCAATCTTTCACAGCAGCCTGATGATGAGGCCTTGGGGAAGATCCTCATTTTCTGACTCCCTGCACCATAGGTCAATTTTCACATGCAATTAAATGGCTTCCTTTATGGATTATAAATTAAAGTAATTTGAGAAACTGTTTTATTTACTGTCGCGGTTAGTGCCCAGAGACTAACCTGGATTGAATTCAGTAGGGTGCAATGTTCTGAAGGTTGCAGATAGAAATGTATTGTATTGAGCTGACACGTTTCTTTTATTCTACATGACAGAGAAGTATTTCTGTTCTACAGAATATATTTATATCTGAAAGTTCTATGATGTTGTGTCTTACTGAGCACCACCCTGGTTCGGTGATTCGATCATTTGTGTATTACATTTACTTTTACATTTTAGTCATTTAGCAGACGCTCTTATCCAGAGCGACTTACAGGAGCAATTAGGGTTAAGTGCCTTGCTCAAGGGCACATTTACGTCATTTAGCAGACGCTCTTATCCAGAGCGACTCACCAATTGGTGCGTTCACCCTATAGCCAGTGGGATAACCACTTTACAATTATTATTTTTTTTGGGGGGGGGGGGGGGGGGGGTAGAAGGATTACTTTATCCTATCCCAGGTATTCCTTAAAGAGGTAGGGTTTCAAATGTCTCCGGAAGGTGGTGAGTGACTCCGCTGTCCTGGCGTCGTGAGGGAGCTTGTTCCACCATTGGGGTGCCAGAGCAGCGAACAGTTTTGAGGAAGGGGAGCCAGCAGGCCAGAGGTGGATGAACACAATGCCCTCGTTTGGGTGTAGGGACTGATCAGAGCCCGACGGTACAGAGGTGCCGTTCCCCTCACTGCTCCATAGTCAAGCACCATGGTCTTGTAGCGGATGCGAGCTTCAACTGGAAGCCAGTGGAGTGTGCGGAGGAGGGGGGTGACGTGAGAGAACTTGGGAAGGTTGAACACCAGACGGGCTGCGGCATTCTGGATGAGTTTTAGGGGTTTAATGGCACAGGCAGGGAGGCCAGCCAACAGTGAGTTGCAGTAGTCCAGACGGGAGATGACAAGTGCCTGGATTAGGACCTGTGCCGCTTCCTGTGTAAGGCAGGGTCGTACTCTCCGAATGTTGTAGAGCATGAACCTGCAGGAGCGGGTCACCGCCTTGATGTTGGCGGAGAACGACAGGGTGTTGTCCAGGGTCACGCCTAGGCTCTTCGCACTCTGGGAGGAGGACACAGCGGAGTTGTCAACCGTGATGGCGAGATCATGGAACGGGCAGTCCTTCCCCGGGAGGAAGAGCAGCTCCGTCTTGCCAGGGTTCAGCTTGAGGTGGTGATCCGTCATCCATACTGATATGTCTGCCAGACATGCAGAGATGCGATTCGCCACCTGGTTATCAGAAGGGGGAAAGGAGAAGATTAGTTGTGTATCGTCAGCGTAGCAATGATAGGAGAGGCCATGTGAGGATATGACAGAGCCAAGTGACTTGGTGTATAGGGAGAAAAGGAGAGGGCCTAGAACTGAGCCCTGGGGGACACCAGTGGTGAGAGCACGTGGTGCGGAGACAGCTTCTCGCCACGCCACTTGGTAGGAGCGACCGGTCAGGTAGGACGCAATCCAGGAGTGAGCCGCGCCGGAGATGCCCAGCTCGGAGAGGGTGGAGAGGAGGATCTGATGGTTCACAGTATCAAAGGCAGCAGACAGGTCTAGAAGGACAAGAGCAGAGGAGAGAGAGTTAGCTTTAGCAGTGCGGAGAGCCTCCGTGACACAGAGAAGAGCAGTCTCAGTTGAATGACCAGTCCTGAAACCTGACTGGTTTGGATCAAGAAGGTCATTCTGAGAGAGATAGCAAGAGAGTTGGCTAAAGACGGCACGCTCAATAGTTTTGGAAAGAAAAGAAAGAAGGGATACTGGTCTGTAGTTGTTGACATCAGTGGGATCGAGTGTTGGTTTCTTGAGAAGGGGAGCAGCTCTCTTGAAGACGGAAGGGACATGGCCAGCGGTCAAGGATGAGTTGATCAGCGAGGTGAGGTAGGGGAGAAGGTCACCGGAGATGGTCTGGAGAAGAGAGGAGGGGATGGGGTCAAGCGGGCAGGTTGTTGGGCGGCCTGCAGTCACAAGTCGCAGGATTTTATCTGGAGAGAGAGGGGAGAAAGAAGTCAAAGCATAGGGTAGGGCAGTGTGAGTAGGACCAGCAGTGTCATTAGACTTAACAAACGAGGATCGAATGTCGTCAACCTTCTTTTCAAAGTGGTTGACGAAGTCATCCACAGAGAGAGAGGGGGGGGGGGGAGGATTCAGGAAGGAGGAAAATGTGGCAAAGAGCTTCCTAGGGTTAGAGGCAGATGCTTGGAATTTAGTGGTAGAAAGTGGCCTGGATTGGTTCTTCCTTCTACCTGTAATTCAGTTGCCATGGCAGAGCGAGTGCTGGTGATTGGCAGTGGTGGGCGGGAACACACCCTGGCATGGAAGCTGGCACAGTCGCCACACATCCAGCAGGTCCTGGTGGCACCGGGGAACGCTGGCACCACCAACTGTGGAAAGATCTCCAACTCTGGTGAGAAGTTGGAGATCGCATTTCATGATCATACAATTCCTGGTCATGTCAGGTGATCAAAAAAAATATAACTCTTAGCCACTCCGTTGCATCTGAAATTTGTGTGCGTCTTTCTCCCCCCCATCTATCTGCACAGAGGTGTCAGTGAGTAACCACTCTATTCTGGCTCAGTTCTGTAAGGAGCATAGCGTGGGGCTGGTGGTGGTAGGGCCTGAGGTGCCTCTGGCAGCAGGTGAGTGGCACACGCACACATCCTTATCTTCCCCATTTCATATTCAGCCATCTGAAACAGTACAGGTACAATGGAAATGCCAAGTTGGCCAGGCCGTCATTGTAAATAAGAATTTGTTCTTAATTGACTCACCTGGATAAATAAAGGTGTAAAAAATATATATAATTATCACTGCACTGCAAATATAATGCTTTTCCTTTCCTCCCATTTTTCTCTGGTCCCCTCCCTCCCTCTTTCCCATCCCCATTCATCCGCTCGCTTTCGTTCCCATCTCATCTGCCCCCCCCCCTCTCTTAGGCATGGTAGATGACCTGCAAGCGGCGGGGGTCCCGTGTTTCGGCCCCTCAGCGAAGGCTGCCCAGCTGGAGGCCAGTAAGAGTTTCTCCAAGGCCTTTATGGACCGTCACGGCATCCCCACAGCCCGCTGGTGCTCCTTCACCGACCCCCAGGAGGCCTGCAGCTACATCCGCACGTCAGTACCGGGGTGGGGGTGTTGGAGAGATATGAGTTCATTAGGGCACACCATAGGAAAATGATTTGCAACGGAAAACAGTGTTTCTTATTGGACAAGTCCAGGTAGTCTGTCCCCAGTTTGAGTCTGCTCGCTGTGTGTCATCTCAACAATGTGTCATTTGTGAGATGAATTTCTACCCATCTCCTGAATTGAAATAGAATTGACCCTGCCTTTGCGGCTCTCTGACCTTTAACCCCTGACCCCTGTGTTGACACCAGGGCCAGTTTTCCTGCTCTGGTGGTGAAGGCCAGTGGCCTGGCTGCAGGGAAGGGTGTCATTGTTGCCAAGGACCAGGAGGAGGCCTGCCAGGCTGTGCTGGACATAATGAAGGTATAGTTTCAAAGTGACCCAAAGTCAGTTTTGCATTTCCCACCCTAATAGTTCATGCTAGGATTCGGAGAGGGTATGCTGTATCTGTGGGCACTCACAGATAGTGGATCAGAAAGGGTTGCATTGGAATAAGCAATATGGCACATCTATCTATAGTCTTTCAAAGGGTACCTAGGGCAGTGGTTCCAAACCTTTTTTAAATTTTGCTCTGCTGTGGTCATAATTGTTTTGTTGTTGATCCTATTGAACAATGAACAAGCTTTGTCTGTTTAAATGAATGGAGTGGCTGCAGTTACGGATTTTCTGAAACCCGACTTGCTGTTGCTAAAAATACGGAGATTTCTGCACATGCGGGATCCACTAGCCTACCTCCTTTCAGCTGCTGTTCAGTCACTCTGTGACTCCGCTGCCGCTTGTACACAAAATAGTTTGAATAAACGTAGTTGTCTGTTGTGACAGTAGCCTAGGCTATTCCAAACATAAGCACGACACAAACATGGGGAGTTACATGCAGCTATTTAGGCAATATATATGTAGCCTACACAGCATATCAAACAAGCAAGACAGACAGGCATTCAATAGCGATTTTAATGTTCTTTTTTTCAGCATTGCAAACATTGGCTAAACAGGAGGCAGACTGCTGGCTATATGGCAGCATAACTATAAAGATTACATCACACAACGGTAATTGTTTTTGCTTAATGCAATGTGTGGACTGCATCTTGCTTGTGCTACGGCAATAGGCATTACAGACAGACAGAAGGTTGTATCCTTCATACATACAGAGTTTTTGGAATGTTCTTTCAAATTGCAGCTGTTCAAAAATGAGGCAGAGAGAGGCTACATCATCAAATTGGTTGAGGGTTCAGAAGAGGGTGAGTAAAGAGCGAAATGTGTGTGTGTGTAAAATAACACATGGACAGAACATGATTCGGATCCTTAGATTTGAGAAAGACGTTTCCAGAGGGGCGGGGGTCAAAACTGTATTCGTAGCCCCGGCCTTAAATTATACTGAACAAAAATATAAACGCAACATGCAACAATTTCAAAGGTTTTACTGAGTTACAGTTCATATAAGGAAATCTGAAATTCATTAGGTCCTAATCTATAGATCACATGACTGGGCAGGGGTGCAGCCATGGGTGGGCCTTGGAGCCAGGCCCAGCCAATCAGAATGCTTTTCTTTTCCCACACAAAAGGGCTTTATTACAGACAGAAATACTCCTCAGCACCCACCTCCCCTCAGACGATCCGCAGGTGAAGTAGCCGGATGTGGAGGTTCTGGGCTTGGCGTGGTCTGCACTATTGAGGCCGGTTGGACGTACTGCTAAATTCTCTAAAACGACGTTGGAGGAAGTTTTAACATTCAATTCTCTGGCAAAAGCTCTGGTGGACTTTCCTGCAGTCAGCATGCCAATTGCACGGTCCGTCAACTTGAGACGTTTGTGGCATTGTGTTGTGTGACAAAACGGCACATTTTAAAGTGGCCTTTTATTGTCCCCAGCACAAGGTGCATCTGTGTAATGATCATGCTGTTTTAATCAGCTTCTTGATATGCCACACCTGTCAGGTGGATGGATTATAGTGGCAAAGGAGAGATGTTCACTAACAGGGATGTAAACAAATTTGTACACAACATTTTAAAGAAATATGATTTTTGTGCGTCTGGAAAATTTCTCATCAAACATGGGACCAACACTTTACATGTTGCTTTTATATTTTTGCTCAGTGTAACATGGACATGTTACATTGTGCCACACAAGAATATACCATGACATTTTAAATGCTTAATTCTTGTAAAAAATTTTTTTAGAATGTAGTGTTTATGTAGCTTACTGAGCTACGGCTGCTTCAGACGTCACGTGGCTTAGACTTTGTATTGTTTTCAGTTGCACACTGTAAATGTAGCTTACAGTTCTGAGGACGCACAAAGTTATTGTTTTATTTTCAAGCTATTTTCCTCCCTCATGGGCTATGGGTTGTGCATTTAGCCCTCCAGTCAGCCCTGACAACGGTATGCTTTCCCCCCCACTTCAAATAGCGATTAGGCTACAGGCGTGCATCTACGGAGGGTCCACAAGACCTGACACGTATCAATGCATCACCAGAAAACCATTTTATTTTTACCAAATCAGTTCTATGATGGCAAACATCAGTCTTGGTTCACCGTTGCTGTTAGCCTACCTTTAGCCAAAAGCTACCCCCTGAAAAAAAACCTGCACACTGTCTGCTATTGTGGCATTTTGCGTCATTATGATTGATCAAAAGAGTAGAACATTTTTGAAATATATTTTTTGGGGACTATCCGGATATCCCCCCCCCTCCCCCCTCAAAAAAATCATGATATTAGAATAGTGAAATAATTTCAAATGCCAATCCCTAGCTACTACCAGTCTCTTTCCGCTTTCTGGTTGGCTTATTTCTCCTCCTCTCTGAGCTCCCGTACTGACAGAATACCACAGTCTATTCTTCTCTTTTGATTGTCACCAAAATGGTATCTGTGGGCTTGGCCTTGAATGTTGCTCTTTTGGGAGAGATGTATCACTTACGCACACTCACTAGACTAAATACACTACCATTCAACATTTTGGGGGTCACTTGGAAATGTCCTTGTTTTTGAAAGAAAATCAATTTTTTTGTCCATTAAAATAACATCAAATTGATCAGAAATTCAGTGGAGACAGTGTTAATGTTGTAAATGGCTATTGTAGCTGGAAACGGCTGATTTTTAATTGACTATCTACATAGGCGTACAGAGGCCCATTATCAGCAACCATCAGTCCTGTGTTCCAATGGCACGTTGTGTTTGCTCATCCAAGAAAAAGCCATATCTCAGACTGCCCATCTTAATCTTTTCTTTTATTGCCCAGTCTGAGATATGGCTTTTTCTTTGCAACTCTGCCTAGAAGGTCAGCATCCCGGAGTCACCTCTTCACTGTTGATGTTGAGACTGGTGTTTTGCGGGTACTATTTATTGAAGCTGCCAGTTGAGGACCTGTGAGGAGTCTGTTTTTCAAACTAGACACTAATGTATTTGTCCTCTTGCTCAGTTGTGCACCGGGGCCTCCCACTCCTCTTTCTAGTCTGGTTAGAGCCAGTTTGCGCTGTTCTGTGAAGGGAGTAGTACACAGCGTTGTACGAGATCTTCAGTTTCTTGGCAATTTCTCGCATGGAATAGCCTTCATTTCTCAGAACAAGAATAGATTGACGAGTTTCAGAAAGTTATTTGTTTCTGGCCATTTTGAGCCTTTAATCAAACCCACAATTGCTGATGCTCCAGATACTCAACTAGTCTCAAGAAGGCCAGTTGTATTGCTTCTTTAATCAGCACAACAGTTTTCAGCTGTGCTAACATAATTGCAAAAGGGTTTTCTAATGATCAATTAGCCTTTTAAAATGATAAACTTGGATTAGCAAACACTGTGCCATTGGAACACAGGACTGATGGTTGCTGATAATGGGCCCATGTAGATATTCCATAAAGAAATCTGCTGTTTCCAGCTACAATAGCCAATTACAACATTAACAATGTCTACACTGTATTTGTGATCAATTTGATGTTATTTTAATGGAGCTTTTTCTTTTTTTTCCCTTTAAAAAACAAGGTCATTTCTAAGTGACCCCAAACTTTTGAACTGTAGTGTAATATACAGACACACACACACACACACACACAGTTGAAGTCAGAAGTTTACATACACCATAGCCAAATACATTTAAACTCAGTTTTTCACAATTCCTGACATTTAATACTAGTAAAAATTCCCTGTCTTAGGTCAGTTAGGATCACCATTTTATTTTAAGAATGTGAAATGTCAGAATAGTAGTAGAGAGAATGATTTATTTCAGCTTTTATTTATTTTATCCAATTCCCAGTGGGTCAGAAGTTGACATACACTCAATTAGTATTTGGTAGCATTGCCTTTAAATTGTTTAACTTAGGTCAAACGTTTCGGGGTAGCCTTCCACAAGCTTCCCACAATAAGTTGGGTGAATTTTGGCCCATTCCTCCTGACAGAGCTGGTGTAACTGAGTCAGGTTTGTAGGCCTCCTTGTGCGCACATGCTTTTTCAGTTCTGCCCACAAAGTTTCTATAGGAGTGAGGTCAGGGCTTTGTGATTGCCACTCTGTCCTTAAGCCATTTTGCCACAACTTTAGAAGTATGCTTGGGGTCATTGTCCATTTGGAAGACCCATTTGCGACCAAGCTTTAACTTCCTGACTGATGTCTGGAGATGTTGCTTCAATATATCCACATAATTTTCCTTCCTCATGATGCCATCTATTTTGTGAAGTGCACCAGTCCCTCCTGCAGCAAAGCATCCCCACAGCATGATGCTGCCACCCCCGTGCTTCACGGTTGGGATGGTGTTCTTCGGCTTGCAAGCAACCCCCTTTTTCCTCCAAACATAATGATGGTCGTTATGGCCAAAAAATTTAGTTTAATCAGACCAGACGACAATTCTCCAAAAAGTACGATATTTTTCCCCATGTGCAGTTGCAGACCGTAGTCTGGCTTTTTAATGGCGGTTTTGGAGCAGTGGCTTCTTCCTTGCTGAGCGGCCTTTTAGGTTATATCGATATAGGACTCGTTTTACTGTGGATGTATATACTTTTGTTCCTGTTTCCTCCAGCATCTTCACAAGGTCCTTTGCTGTTGTTCTGGGATTGATTTGCACTTTTCGCACCAAAGTACGTTCATCTCAAGGAGACCGAACGCGTCTCCTTCCTGAGCAGTATGACGGCTGTGCGGTCCCATGGTGTTTATACTTGCGTACTATTGTTTGTACAGATGAATGTGGTACATTCAGGCATTTGGAAATTGCTCCCAAGGATTAACCAGACTTGTGGAGGTCTACAATTATTTTTCTGAGGTCTTGGCTGATTTATTTTGATTTTCCCATGATGTCAAGCAAAGAGGCACTGAGTTTGAAGGTAGGCCTTGAAATACATCCACAGGTACACCTCCAATAGGCTAATTTACATAATTTGAGTCAATCAGAAGCTTTTAAAGCCATGACATCATTTTCTGGAATTTTCCAAGCTGTTTAAAGGCACAGTCAACTTAGTGTATGTAAACTTCTGACCCATTGGAATTGTGATACAGTGAAATAATCTGTCTGTAAACAAACAATTGTTGGAAAAATTACTTGTCATGCACAAAGTAGATGTCCTAACCGACTTGCCAAAACTATAGTTTGTTAACGAGACATTTGTGGAGTGGTTGAAAAACGAGTTTTAATGACTCCAACCTAAGTGTATGTAAACTTCCGACTTCAACTGTATATACACTCAGCAAAAAAGAAACGTCCTCTCACTGTCAACTGCGTTTATTTTCAGCAAACTTAACGTGTAAATATTTGTATGAACATAAGAATCAACAACTGAGACAAACTGAACAAGTTCCACAGACGTGATTAACAGAAATTGAATAATGTGTACCTGAACAAAGGGGGAGTCAGTATCTGTTGTGGCCACCAGCTGCATGAAGTACTGCAGTGCATAACCTCCTCATGGACTGCACCAGATTTGCCAGTTATTGCTGTGAGATGTTACCCCACTCTTCCACCAAGGCACCTGCAAGTTCCCGGACATTTCTAGGGGGAATGGCCCTAGCCCTCACCCTCCGATCCAACAGGTCCCAGACGTGCTCAATGGGATTGAAATCCGGGCTCTTCGCTGGCCATGGCAGAACACTGACATTCACGCACAGAACGAGAAGTATGGCTGGTGGCATTGACATGCTGGAGGGTCATGTCATGATGAGCCTGCAGGAAGGGTACCACAAGAGGGAGGAGGATGTCTTCCCTGTAACGCACAGCGTTGAGATTGCCTGCAGTGACGACAAGCTCAGTCCGACGAAGCTGTGACACACCGCCCCAGACCATGACAGACCCTCCACCTCCAAATCGATCCCGCTCCAGAGTACAGGCCTCGGTGTAACGCTCATTCCTTCGACTGATAAACGCGATTCCGACCATCACCCCTGGTGAGACAAAACCGCGACTCGTCAGTGAAGAGCACTTTTTGCCAGTCCTGTCTGGTCCAGCGACGGTGGGTTTGTGCCCATAGGCGACGTTGTTGCCGGTGATGTCTGGTGAGGACCTGCCTTAGAACAGGCCTACAAGCCCTCAGTCCAGCCTCTCTCAGCCTATTGCCGACAGTCTGAGCACTGATGGAGGGATTGTGCGTTCCTGGTGTAACTCGGGCAGTTGTTGTTGCCATCCTGTACCTGTCCCGCATGTGTGATGTTCGGATGTACCGATCCTGTGCAGGTGTTGTTACAAGTGGTCTGCCACTGCGAGGACAATCAGCTGCCCGTCATGTCTCCCTGTGGCGCTGTCTTAGGCGTCTCACAGTACGGACATTGCAATTTATTGCCCTGGCCACATCTGCAGTCCTCATGCCTCCTTGCAGCATGCCTAAGGCACGTTCACACAAATGAGCAGGGACCCTGGGCATCTTTCTTTTGGTGTTTTTCAGAGTCAGTAGAAAGGCTTCTTTAGTGTCCTAAGTTTTCATAACTGTGACCTTAATTGCCTACCGTCTGTAAGCTGTTAGTGTCTTAACGACCATTCCACAGGTGCATATTCATTAATTGTTTATGGTTCATTGAACAAGCATGTGTTTAAACCCTAAACGGTGTTTAAACCCTTTACAAGAAGATCTGTGAAGTTATTTTGATTTTTACGAATTATCTTTGAAAGACAGGGTCCTGAAAAAGGGACGTTTCTTTTTTAGCTGAGTTTATATACACACACTCAATCTCACACACACTACATTGACACTCCCACACAACCAACACATGTTGACACAACGCACACTTTTACACTCATTTGTTGCTGCTACTCTGTTTTTTTATTTTACTCTTATTTCCTATCCAGATGCCTAGTCACTTTACCCTGACTTCATGTACATATCTACTTCAAATACCTTGTGCCTCTGCACATTGATCTGATACTGGTTCTCCCTGTATATAGCTCCATTCTTGTGTACTTTATTTGATTTCTCTTGTTACCATTTACATTTTTTTACTCTGCATAGTTGGGAAGGGCTCGTTAGCAAGCATTTCTACACCAGTTGTATTCGGTGCGTGTAACAAATAACATTTTGATTTGATCTCTCGTCTTGACTCTACAAATCCAGCTCCCATTTTAAAGTGAAGGTGTGCATGCCTGTGTTTGTGTGTGTTGCAGGACAAGGCATTCGGCTCTGCCGGGGAGACTGTGGTGGTGGAGGAACTTCTGGAGGGAGAGGAAGTGTCTGTGAGTGTCTGGTCCTCTTTCTTTTTCTTACATAGTGGGCAAAAAACATTTGTCACGCAAAATAGCACAGATCTGTGCAAAGAATACATTGGATAATGTGCTTTTCCTATTTAAAATGTTATGGTTATTTTGCTCACTACCTGACAATTCAATATGTGGTTCCATTATTGGCATTTACTAACTACTTGCTCTTTCTCTTCTCCCGTGTAGTGTCTGTGTTTCAGTGATGGCTGCACTGTGTCCCTCATGCCCCCTGCCCAGGACCACAAACGCCTGCAGGACGGGGATCTGGGCCCCAACACGGGCGGCATGGGGGCCTACTGCCCCACCCCGCAGGTACACACGCCCACACACACTCTTGACAACCACCGACCGTTGTCTCACATTGCTCAGAATGTGTAGGACTTGTATGTAGTCTCTCTCTGTCTACAACCTGCTATTGTCTGTCCACCACCTGCTATTGCTTGTCCACCTGTTTGTCCTCACTGTCTGTGTCCAGGTGTCTCAGGAGCTGTTGCAGAAGATCAGAGAGACTGTCCTCCAGAAGACTGTGGATGGCATGAAGGAGGAGGGTGCCCCCTATGTGGGTAAGTAATGAACTGCATGCAGCACACTGGTTATTGTGTGGAGTGGAAATGAAAGGGGTGCAAAATTGGGTCCCTCTTTCTGTCGTTTATTTGTGTCTGACTTGCTCGTTTACCTGTCGTCATCCTTTTTCAGGTGTGCTGTACGCTGGGCTGATGTTGACCAAGCAGGGGCCCAAGGTCCTGGAGTTCAACTGTCGCTTCGGCGACCCAGAGTGTCAGGTTTGTCAACTGTGTGTGTGAGCATGTGTTATTGGTACGTCTCTGCTCTATTTTATCATCATAGAGCTTATAAGGCAAGTTTTGCAGTTGCACTCCACTAATGGGTAAGGTTAAGATTAATGGAGGATGAACTGGTCCTGGATCTGTGCCTATTAGGACAATTCCGATCTTGCCTGAATCATGTTCAGTTGGGCAAACCTTACCAAAACATTTTGCAGTGTGAAAATGGACATTCCAGTATTACATCCCCACTCTGAATCAAAATATTTTCTTCGCACTGAACGTGACCCTGTTCTAGGTGCTGATGCCCTTGCTGAAGAGTGACCTGTACGAGGTGCTCCAGAGCACCCTGCAGGGGAAGTTAGCATCCAGCACCACTGTGTGGCACCAGGACAGCTCTGCAGTCACTGTGGTCATGGCCAGCCCCGGCTACCCCGGCTCCTATAAGAAAGGTGTTGCAATCACAGGTAGGTACGCTTCTGTCCACGCTCTACTTGCCTGGGGTGTATTCATTAGTCAAACACCGTAGCTAAATGTTTTGCAACTAAAATAAGTTTCCATTGGACAAATTCCGGTAGGTCCCTCCACATTTCATTCCGTTTGCCTCAGTGTTCATTCGTTTGATTCCTAGTGAATATTCCCATGTTTGGAACAGATCTGCTGTCAGTCGTAACCGACACTGAACAACCGATCTATCAACTAATTACATAACATTAACCAGGTCTCCATCCAACCTTTTTATGTGAGTAAAGTACATGTTGGATAAAAAATGTCATGAGAGGCCTGATGGAAACAACACATTTGTTGGTAAACTTTCCAAATGTGTAGCGTATTTTGTTTTGCCAACAAGGTGTGATATTTTTGTGTCTGTAAAATTAATTATACGAGAAATGGTGGTGGAAACGCTTTTATGCGCAAATATCGATATAATAACCATCATATCAAAGTAAACTTTGTGATATGGTGTGTGTGTGGTCATCCCACTACGACTCGGAAAGCATGCAGTTTTTATTAGGCCAGTGGTTCCCAAACCGGGGTGCGAGGAACTCAGTCCGGCTTTAAACTTACTCTTGAAAGTTGTAATAGTAGAATGCACAAGGTGCAATTTGGAAATTGGGTAATGCATCATCAGTTCCTCTTGTCATGTTAGTCATTGTATACCTTAGAGAGCTATTTATAACTTGTCAGAAATGTACAGATCAACTAGCCCATGTCAGCTAATGTATTTTTATTATGTTTATTTAGCCCAGAGATCTTGTTGTAATGCTGGAAGGGGGGCCCCGAGTGAAAAAGTTTGGAAACCCCTGTAATGGCTACAGATGAAATAAGTTATGAACTTCACAGGGTGACATGATAATTGATGCTTGGCTGCTGTTTGGCCCCAAAAAAAATTTGGGGTCCACAATAATCTCTTGTAGGTATCTGCGGGCCGTTCTATAAAGAGCGCACGTGCCAAGACCAGAGTGGGCACACTCGCGATATAACGCCATTTATTTTGTGACAAAACCATCAATAGAGTTGAAAATGCAATGGAAACCCATTAAACTTGTATGTTTTATTCAGTACATGGGAATATAACCGTATACGTTTTTTTAATGTGCAGTACATCACGCACAGGTCCTCTGTAGCTCAATTGGTAGAGCATGGCGGTTGTAACGCCAGGGTAGTGGGTTTGATCCCCGGGTCCACCCATACGTAAAAATGTATGCACACATGACTGTAAGTCGCTTTGGATAAAAGCGTCTGCTAAATGGCTTATTATTATTATTATTATTATTACCTGCAACAAGTCAATTTGATGGAAATGCATCTCTTGTGGGAAAATGTGCGTTTTTGTTTTTATGCAGATTTTAGAATATTCGCATGAAAATCTGCCGTTAATTGGTGGAAACTGATTAAAGTAGGGGGAGAGTAGGGACTCATTTTTATCTCCATCTCATACACTCCCTCCCTCCATCTCTCTCTATCACTCCCTCTAATATGCTCCCTATAATACTCACACTCGACTCTGACTCTCTCAGGTCTGTCTCAGGTGGAGGAGACAGGGGTACAGGTGTTCCACGCCGGAACGGCGCTGAAGGAAGGTGGCGTGGTCTCCAGCGGGGGCCGTGTCCTCACTGTCACCGCTGTTAGGTCGTCCCTGGAGATGGCCCTGCACGCAGCCAATCGGGGCGTGGCCGCCGTAGGGTTCCCGGGAGCCGTGTACCGACGTGACATCGGCCACCGAGCCATCGCCCACCTCACCCAGCACAGGTGTGTGTGTGAGAGGGGACAGGGTGGACGCACTAAACACACACAAACTGAACACTCATTAACACTGAACACACATACACACAGATAAAGGACTTTCGGCATCCTAAACACTCCTCATTCATAATTTCACTGTAATAGTTTGACCATCGTCAGGTTAGAACCCTATATTTTGTTTATTAGAGTACATATTGACAGGAGGGGCTATTGGGTAACCCTAGACAAGGTCTACCTCGGTGTCTGTCGGTTGTTTACATGTAGATTTGGCCTAGAAACAGTGCATTTAGTATGAACCTACTATGAACGCTCACATTCCAGTAGAGATTGTCTAGTGACATTTCATTCTGTATACTGCTACTGTGTAGAGTTCCAGTCTGACTTTTTGTTTTCATATTTGGAATTTTTTCCTAGTTATTTATGTTGGATTGGCATAAGCATTGGCTGAAGGTAATCTGCATTAAATTGGAGGTTGGCCTAGCAAGCACGACTCATGATTTGTACCCCTTGATAAGAATGGGTCAATGGATTTTGGACAGAGAAACATTTGTAGGTAGTCTACCCAAAGTCATTCTTATACATGACAGTATATATATATTTTTTTACATTAGTGTGATATAACTCAATCTGGTAATGGGAGGTAGTAGCTGGATTGAGGGACCACCTGATTTGACATAGACAGACAATAGCCTGTTGAGTCACACTGACATTGGTAGAGGGCAAATAGCTGTAGCCTGATTGGTTGGTCGTCTCACCATAACCTCTGACCCTTGCTGTGTGTCCCTCCCCCAGCAGAGGCCTAACCTATAAGGACAGCGGAGTGGACATCGCTGCGGGCAACCGGCTGGTGGACATGATCAAGCCGTTGGCCAAGGCCACCTCTCGCTCAGGTAGTCACGTCAACCCCCTCTCATTGCCTTTAATCAGAACGGCTACAGCTGAGCTACTAGCTAGACAGCCTGGAGAGCTGCAGTGCTTTTCCCAAACTCATACCTATCCACTTGTAATGATCTGTGTAAGATTGGATATATGATTAGTTTCCCAAATCTCGCTGAGTACCCTGCCTGTTCGAATTCCACCTTTTGAACTATTCAGGTCAACTAATCATCAAGCCTCTGATTAGTTAAATCAGGTGTGCTGGTACTGGAATTGAACAAATAAGTGGAATGGCTGGGAAACACTGGTATAAGCATTATGGCAAAAACCTCTACCTAGCCTATTTTTAGAGGGACAAGGTGCTAGGGGTCGGTTTGGGATTGGGCATTTCATTACATGCCCTGCACTAAAGCAGTCTCTCAGTCAACCTATCATGGTTTCACCTTATCCAACTAATTACGAAGGTCCAAGAAGGTAAATGATTTTCCTTCCCTTGTGAAATGAACCGGAGGAAAGAAATTAGGTTATTTGTCTTGTCTACTTTATCTGGGTGTTGGATAATTAAAGTAAGTGATGTATTGTAGTGCCCAGGGCTTTAACAAATACAGTACCTGTAGACACAGTTTTACTCAAATAGAATTTGGAACAGTTTCCTCGATTTTGATCTATAAACACATTGCTGTAGGAAGCATAAATTAGTTGTTTTCTACAATATACATATGGATGGGTGGGCGGATGGATGGATGAATTGATTTAATTAATTATTTTGGTGTTTAAAAGACATACAGGTAGCTGCCAAAATAAAGGAAACCCTTGTAAATGAGGGATACAAAGTATATTGAAAGCAGGTGCTTCCATACAGGTGTGGTTGCTGAGTTAATTAACAATCCATCATGCTTATAGTCATGTATAAAAAATGCCTGCTTGCCCATTAATTTGGCTACCATGGGATCTCATTGACTTTGATAGAGGGGTCTCAAAGGAGCATAGGTTGTTTAAAGTGTGTATGTGTCAGTCACCAGATCTCAACACTAATGGGAACGCCATCAACAAAACACCAATGATGGAATTTCTTGTGGAAGAATGGTGTCGCATCCCTCCAATAGAGTTCCAGACACTTGTAGAATCTATGCCAAGGTGCATTGAAGCTGTTCTGGTGTCTCGTGGTGGGACGGCACCCTATTAATACACTTTATGTTGGTGTTTCCTTTATTTTTCCAGTTACCTTTACATCAACCAGATGTAAAGGTAACTGGATAGAATATTATTTAAAAAAATATACAATGTTTTGTATATTAAACTTTTTCCCCAATGTGTTCTTCATTTTGTAAAAGACCAGTGTTGCTTTTATTCCCTTCCTGTCCACCAGGGTGTAACGCTGAGCTGGGGGGCTTTGCCGGCCTCTTTGACCTCAAAGCTGCAGGCTTCATCGACCCCATCCTGGTGTCTGGGACAGACGGAGTAGGGACCAAGCTCAAGGTAGGCATGACTTCTCAAAACAAAAAAACGGTATATGAGACATTGCAGCCGCATTGCATGTTTTGGTGCATGAATAAAGCTAGGGAGCAATATATTCCAAGTACAGGCTTTTCGTTCTTTTTTTATCCGTTTTTTTGGCCTAGCACAGTTAGAGAAATGTAGGTTCATGTGCATATGTTTTGGCTGTTTATCAATTACTCTTTCCGTGATTCCGCACATACCATCTCCTCGCCTCCTCTGCTGTATTGGCGTAGAAGGTCCAAGGTCCCTACTCTTAGACCTCCTTCGCCAATGTGTTTTAAGCAGGTGGGGAGAGATTATGCTAGGAATCACAAAGACATTGAGATCCTACAACCTCTTCATGACTTGACCTCTGCCCTCATCTCTGCCTTCTCTAGATTGCCCAGGCATGCCAGCAGCACAGCACCCTGGGACAGGACCTGGTGGCCATGTGTGTCAACGACGTGCTGGCCCAGGGGGCGGAGCCTCTCTTCTTCCTGGACTACTTCTCCTGTGGCCGGCTGGATGTGGGCGTGGCCTCCGCCGTGATCGGGGGCGTGGCCGAGGCCTGCGGGTTGGCGGGCTGCGCTCTACTGGGTGAGGGGGGGGGTGGGGCAGTCGGATGTCAGCCTTAAGATGCAAGGATGGCTGTGTGTGCGCACTATATTTTGTGTGTTCAGGTGGTAAGAAAGTGGAGATGCTGGCTGTATACTGGGGGTGTAGTGAAAACCAACATAGTAGGGTTTTAGCTGCTACACTGGAAACCATCTGTATTCTTGGGCGTGAGCCAGCCATCCATTTCTGGGTTCTACATTGTGTGTGTGTGTGCGCACATTTGCAACTGCATGCATGTGTGTTTGATCATATATTTGTGTTAACAACTGTGTGCGTTTTTCTGTTCGTTCATCCAGGCGGCGAGACTGCGGAGATGCCCGGTGTGTACGGCCCCGGAGAGTACGACTTGGCAGGGTTCTGCGTGGGGGCGGTGGAGAGGGGCGCCCTGCTACCCAGGCTGGGGGACATTTGCGAGGGGGACCTGCTCATCGGGGTTGCCGCCTCGGGGGTGCACAGCAACGGATTCAGCCTGGTCCGGAAGGTCCTGGAGAGGGCAGGAGTCACCTACAGCTCCCCTGCACCTTTCGGGAAACCTGGACAAACCGTGGGTAGGTTAATGAGATCATAGAAGCTCTTACACAGAGTAAACTTACATTTATTTGAGAGATCATTTCTGTGGGTTTTTCTGCCCAATCTTTCTTCTCTCATGCTATCTTCCTGCCTGTTACCTGTCTTATCCCAGTCTCTATTGGTCATCTTTTGTACTGTTGTTCAATTGTACTATTGTAAGGTTTATCTGGGTCCTTGAAAAGTGCTTTATGAATCCAATGTATCATAATTAAAGTAATTCCCCCTAGAGGTCTCTTTTCCCCGTCTAAAGTCTTTCCCCATGTTGATTGACAGGCGAGGTTCTCCTGACGCCCACTAAGATCTACAGCCGCCTGCTCCTGCCAATCCTGCGCAGCGGCGCCATCAAGGCCTACGCCCACATCACTGGGGGCGGCCTATTGGAGAACATCCCCCGAGTACTGCCTCAGGAACTGTCCGTTGACCTGGGTGAGAGAGAAACACACACTTCTCTTATTGCCCATGTTTTTAAAGTGTAGTGGTAAACAATGTATGAGGATGAAACAGTTGTCCATATCAGATACCTGATGCTGTTTTGAATTGTACTAACTGTGGTAGGGCTGTCCCCAACCAAAAAAGAAATCTTGGTTGACCGAAAGTAGTCTGTTCTTTCGACCAATCGATTGGTCAATTTTTTAACTTGTATTTTTCCATATAGACACACCGTATGTGTTTTAATAAAACCAACTATATGCATCAAGCTTGTCTGATGCTTAAGGCTTACCATTTTGATGAAATAAGACAAATGCCTCGAAGGCATTTCTTTGTTTTGTTTACCCCATATGTAACTCTGTTGTTGTTTTTTATCGCACTGCTTTGCTTTATCTTGGCCAGGTCGCAGTTGTAAATGAGAACTTGTTCTCAACTGGCTTACCTGGTTAAATAAAATAAAAAAGGCGCCAGAGATCTAGATAACCTGACCCAACTATTTCCCTCCTGCTGGCTTTTACAGATTCTGCCATTGTACAAATATATAACTATGTATAAAGCCAACAAATAACAACATTGCAGGTAGAAAATATCCTGATTTTAAAAAATACATATCCTATAAATTACATTGGCTACACATGGCCTGTCTGCAACGAACTTGAAACATTGTATCATCTATTAACTTGGGCCTGGCCTGAAGCTTGCCCTAGCGAACCTGCAACATTGTATAAAATATTCTGGGCCCTCAGATTTTGGGACAGACACAGCTGTAGGCTATTTGCGCAAGGGATAAGAAGCAGTGCTTGACTTGGGCAGGAGCTTACCGGAGCTGAGTACCGGCACCTCTTATAGAATTTTAACTCAAAAGTATTGTGGCGCTCCTGCACCTAAATATAAACAGTACCAGCACCCAAAATGAGTATCGGACCTATTTCAGTCCAAGTCACGCAACTAATTAGAAGTAACTAGGTAGTCCTATATTATGACGTTTCCATTGGTTTGGAGCATTACATTTTTCCCTTTCAGGCTGAGTGGTTATTGAAAGGGAGAGAGCTGGAAAGATTTTTGTAATACATTGAGGAACTATTGTAATTCTCAATGGATGTGAAAACCGACTTTGTTTGCTTGCTGTTTGACGTGAAGAAAACATTACTTTGAGAAGCTCCACAGTTCATTAGTGGTGGTGCGTTAAGCCAATCAGAAATACTAGCAGATCCCCAAATGCGCACATTTGTATCCCTACATTTGCGCACAGGCCAGGTAGCCTATAGGCCTTTATATGTGCGCGTCCTTACTCAACATTGATAGGAGTGCTCCAAACAAAAGAATAATAATAATATGCCATTTAGCAGACGCTTTATCCAAAGCGACTTAGTCATGCGTGCATACATAATTTTTTTGTGTGTGTATGGGTGGTCCCAGGGATCGAACCCACTACCCTGGCGTCATTCCAACGTGGAAAGGATTCTATTATTTCTTTATAACTTTCATCAAGAACCGTAAGCTGAAAATGGTGGCTACCTGTTATTAGTCACCGTTAGCGTCTTCACCATTGTCCGTGGCCTACACTATCCACCAGCCAGCTCTAGCTCTAGCCTGGACAATTCGTCGGCCAGTCTGCACAGCGTGCTATCGACCCAGCGTGCTATCGACCCAGAGCTTATTGGACTTTCTGCCGGAATCACTGGACCCTAGCGCCGGATCATCACAACCAGCTAGCTAGCTGCAACCTGTTGTTGGCTGATTACCATTGCCCTATAGCAAGCACCAGTTAGCCTTGAGCTAGCCTCAGGCCCATCTCCCGGCTATCTACCTCTCTGTCAACCGGACGGGACCTCCTAGTGTTGACACTGAGCCCCGCCGATCCAACACGACTGATTTGCCAACGAAATAGTCTGATGTGGTTTCAACAGGCTTCCCGTTGCGACGACCACGAAGATCCATCTGCCAGCCCCGGCCCGCTAGCACACGCAAACTACAACTGTGCTCCCTGCTAGCTGTGCTGAAGCACCAATTTGAACTGCTCTCGGACTCCCATATTGCTGTTCACTGGACCTTATGATCACTCAGCTGCACAGCTGATGCCTGCTGGACTGTTCCTTTACACGGTACCCTGTCCTGTTTATTCTGTTTAGTCTTAGCCCAATTGTTATCGCTATTTCCAGTTGTCTTAGCTCTCTCTAATAACACATGTGACTGCTTTATGCCTCTCTCCCATGTCAATTATGCCTTGCCTATTGCTGTTTGGGTTAGTTCTTATTATACAATTTCAATGTAGAACCCCTAGTCCCTCTCAAACTGCCTCATATAGTTCCTTTGTTCCTCCCCCCATACACACCGAGACCGGCTCAATCGATGCCTCCAATGACGCTATCTCTTTCATTGTTACCCAACGCTTAGGGTTACCTGAACTGTACTCATATCCTTCCATATCCTTTTCTGTACATAATGCCCTGAATCTTTTCTACAACGCCTGGAGAACTGCCCCCTTTATTCTATGTACCCAACGCACTAGAAGACCAGTTCTTAAAGCCTTTAGTCGTATCCTTATTCTAGTCCTCCTCTGGTGATGTAGAGGCTAACCCAGGCCCTGCAGCCCCCAGTATCACTCCTACTCCCCAGGAGCTATCATTTGTTGACTTCTGTAACCGTAAAAGTATTGGTTTTCTGCACATAAATATCAGAAGCCTCCTTCCTAAGTTTGAGTTATTCACTGCGTTAGCACACTCCGCCAACCCTGATGTTCTAGCAGTGTCTGAATCCTGGCTTAGGAAGGCCACCAAAAATTCTGAAATTTCCATCCCCAACTATAACATTTTCCGTCTAGATAGAACTGCCAAAGGGGGTGGAGTTGCAATCTACTGTAGAGATAGCCTGCAGAGCTCTATCATACTATCCAGGTCTGTGCCCAAACAGTTTGAGCTTCTGCTTCTAAAAATCCACCTTTCCAGAAATAAATCTCTCACTGTTGCCGCTTGCTACAGACCCCCCTCAGCCCCTAGCTGTGCCCTGGACACCATATGTGAATTGATTGCCCCCCATCTATCCTCAGAGTTCGTACTGCTTGGTGACCTAAATTGGGATATGCTTAACACCCCGGCCATCCTACAATCTAAACTAGATGCCCTCAATCTCACACAAATTATCAACGAACCTACCAGGTACAACCCTAAATCTGTAAACATGGGTACCCTCATAGATATCATCCTGACTAACTTACCCTCTAAATACACCTCCGCTGTCTTCAACCAGGATCTCAGCGGTCACTGCCTTATTGCCTGCGTCCGTAACGGGTCCGCGGTCAAACGACCACCCCTCATCACTGTCAAACGCTCCCAAAAACACTTCAGCGAGCAGGCCTTCCTAATTGACCTGGCCCAGGTATCCTGGATGGATATAGATCTCATTCCGTCAGTAGAGGATGCCTGGTTGTTCTTTAAAAGTAATTTCCTCTCAATCTTAAATAAACATGCCCCATTCAAAAAATACAGAACTAAGAACAGATATAGCCCCTGGTTCTCCTCAGACTTGACTGCCCTTGACCAGCACAAAAACATCCTGTGGCGTACTGCATTAGCATCAAATAGCCCCCGTGATATGCAACTTTTCAGGGAAGTTAGGAACCAATATACACAAGCAGTTAGGAAAGCAAAGGCTAACTTTTTCAAACAGAAATTTGCATCCTGTAGCACTAACTCCAAAAAGTTTTGGGACACTGTAAAGTCCATGGAAAATAAGAGCACTTCCTCCCAGCTGCCCACTGCACTGAGGCTAGGAAACACTATCACCACCGATAAATCTACAATAATCGAGAATTTCAACAAGCATTTTGATACGGCTGGCCATGCTTTCCACCTGGCTACCACTACCCCGGCCACCAGCTCTGCACCATCCGCTGCAACTTGCCCATGCCCCCCCCGCTTCTCCTTCACACAAATCCAGACAGCTGATGTTCTAAAAGAGCTGCAAAATCTGGACCCCTACAAATCATCTGGGCTAGAGAATCTGGACCCTTTCTTTCTAAAACTAGCCGCCGAAATTGTCGCAACCCCTATTACTAGCCTGTTCAACCTCTCTTTCGTAACGTCTGAGATCCCCAGAGATGGGGGTGACCTCTTCAAAGGGGGTGACACTCTAGATCCAAACTGTTACAGACCCATATCCATCCTGCCCTGCCTTTCGAAAGTTTTTGAAAGCCAAGTCAACAAACAGATCACCGACCATTTCGAATCCCACCGTACCTTCTCCGCTATGCAATCCGGTTTCCGAGCTGGTCATGGGTGCACTTCAGCCACGCTCAAGGTCCTAAACGATATTATAACCGCGATCGATAATAGACAGTACTGTGCAGCTGTTTTCATTGACCTGGCCAAGGCTTTTGACTCTGTCAACCACCGCATTCTTATTGGCAGACTAAATAGCCTTGGTTTCTCAAATGACTGCCTCGCCTGGTTCACCAACTACTTCTCAGATAGAGTTCAATGTGTCAAATCGGAGGGCCTGTTGTCAGGACCTATGGCAGTCTCTATGGGGGTGCCACAGGGTTCAATTCTTGGGCCAACTCTTTTCTTTGTGTATATCAATGACGTCGCTCTTGCTGCTGGTGACTCTCAGATCCACCTCTACGCAGACGACACCATTTTGTATACATGTGGCCCTTCATTGGACACTGTGTTAACAAACCTCCAAACGAGCTTCAATTCCATACAACACTCCTTCAATAGCCTCCAACTGCTCTTAAACACTAGTAAAACTAAATGCATGCTCTTCAACCGAACGCTACTTGCACCCGCCCACCCGACTAGAATCACTACTCTAGACGGGTTTGACCTAGAGTATGTGGACAACTACAAATATCTAGGTGTCTGGTTAGACTGTAAACTCTCCTTCCAGACTCACATTAAGAATCTCCAATCCAAAGTTAAATCTAGAATCGGTTTCCTATTTCGCAACAAAGCCTCCTTCACTCATGCTGCCAAACATGCCCTCGTAAAACTGACTATCCTACCGATCCTTGACTTCGGCGATGTCATTTACAAAATAGCCTCCAACACTCTACTCAGCAAATTGGATGTTGTCTATCACAGTGCCATCCGTTTTGTCTCCAAAGCCCCATATGCTACCCACCACTGTGACCTGTACGCTCTTGTTGGCTGGTCCTCACTACATATTCGTCGCCAAACCCACTGGCTCCAGGCCATCTATAAATCACTGCTAGGCAAATCCCCGCCTTATCTTAGCTCATTGGTCACCATAGCAACACCCACCCGTAGTCTGCGCTCCAGCGGGTATATCTCACTGGTCATCCCCAAAGCCAACACCTCCTTTGGCCGCAATTCCTTCCAGTTCTCTGCTGCCAATGACTGGAACAAATTGCAAAAATCTCTGAAGCTGGAGACACTTATCTCCCTCACTAACTTTAAGCATCAGTTGTCAGAGCACCTTACCGATCACTGCACCTGTACACAGCCCATCTGAAATTAGCCTGCCCAACTACCTCATCCCTATATTGTTATTTATTTTGCTCATTTGTACCCCAGTATCTCTATTTGCACATCATCTCTTGCACATCATTCCAGTGTTAATACTAAATTGTAATTATTTTGCACTATAGCCTATTTTATTGCCTTACCTCCATAACTTGCTAAATCTGCACACTGTATATTATATGTATTTCTGTTGTATTTTTTACTTTGTTTTGTTTTACCCCATATGTAACTCTGTGTTGTTTTTATCGCACTGCTTTGCTTTATCTTGGCCAGGTCGCAGTTGTAAATGAGAACTTGTTCTCAACTGGTTTACCTGGTTAAATAAAGGTGAAATAAAAAATAAATAAAAAAATGCTCTACCAGCTGAGCTACAGAGGACCACAGACAATGTCTAAAACTCGTAAATGGAATGAAATAAACCAAAACATGTTTCTCACAAGTGTAGCATAGGTTGTGCACTCTGCAATCAATGTGTCCACTCCGACAATGAGAACGGGAAGACTGGAATAATAATATTGAATGCATTAAAATAAATTACCGTAACCAAAGTAACAAACATTTGTAGATTAGGAGTTAACGGTAAATGTACAACTGGTGATTTATGTAATGGGGAATTGATATACACTAACAATCAAACGCAAACAATTAACACAATGAAGTTATGAAACAATGAATGTGCACAAGTTGGCGGGAGAGAGTGCATTCTGGAGAGGGAAGTACATTGTGCATCTGGGCGCATTGTCATTGGCCATGCAGCATTTACAGTGATCTGGCCTCAGCAGAAGTCAGGGCATTCATGCTTCGCTGAGCAGTGCAGAGTTGTTGTCAAGGAAGTGAGTTTGCATTTATACAGGAAGTACCCCCTATGGTCAACCAATCACGTCAATGCGGAGCTATACAGAGGCCTCCACATTGTTAAAAATGTTTGGAGGCGCATGGCGATGCGGTACGGAGCTCGATTTGGCCTATGCATGCATCTGGAGGCTCCGCAATTGCGTCACACCCTCCATATGGAGCCTCCAACCATGTTTTCAGATCAAGCATAAATTGGCTTTTAGTTTAGGCCTCCGCAATGGATTAGTTTACTGAGATGGGCGTGTGTATATGTTTGTTTGTTTGTTACTGCTCGACTAAAACAATCTCGGTCGACCAACAGCCTATCGACCAGTCGACTAATTGGGGTCAGCTCTAAACTGTGGTTAGTATTTACTTCATATTGAATGTGTGTGTGAGCTGCTCTGTGTGCACTGTATGTCCCACCCAGACGCATCCCGTTGGATCATCCCCCCTGTGTTCTCATGGCTCCAGAAGGAGGGGGGCTTGTGCGAAGAGGAAATGGGGCGCACCTTCAACTGTGGCCTTGGAGCCGTGCTGGTGGTGGCCTTTCCGGACGCCCAGAGGGTCCTGAGGCAGCTCCAAGCCCATGAGGATGCCTGGATCGTGGGCTCGCTGGCCCACAAGCAGCCTGGTGAGCGACGACCTAAAGCATGAGTAGTGAAACTCTCATTCCAATGCTTCAGGAATTATGGGTTCTGTACACTCACAGACCGATAAGGAAACTAACTGTATGTTGTATAGAATCGATCTTGTTAATGAGGAAATGCCCTTCAGATGTTCACATTAAATGTAATTTTTGTATTGATGGGTTCAAACACGCATGAGCTCACACACAGGTAAGACTCACACAGTGCTTGGTGGTATTCATCTTTGTCATTTTACTGAATTTTGTGTGTGTGTGCCTGTTTGTGAAGGGGCCAAGCCTGTGGTGATCAGGAACCTGGAGCAGAGCCTGCGTGTAGGCCCCTCTCCCTGCGTAGTAGACCTGGGGCCCCTGCAGAACGGAGCGTCTCAAGGGGACAGCAGCAGCACCGTCCCCCGCAAGAGGACCAGGGTAGGCGTCCTCATCTCAGGCACAGGTTAGTGGCGTGTGTATGGCGTGTGTCACTGTATCTGAAAACACTGCCAAGTGCCAACAGATAGTAATTTATTACAAGCAAATGTCACGTTCAAGTGATGCGCGTGCATGCTCTCATCAAAAATCCCTGTAGCAGAATTAGCTATACACTGATGTCGGGATCAGCGTTGCCAGGTCAAGCAAACATTTCTAGCCCCAATGACCTCTCAAAACCCACCCACAAGTCCTGAAAACTAGCCCCCCCCCCAAAAAAAACAAAACAAAACAGTTGCCACATTTATCCAATAAACCCTTTTTCCGTAGCGTTATTGAGCAAATTAAGAAGGAATATCGGCGTAATTTGTAACGGCATATTCTAAGAAGCTAAATTTGTTTTTCCATCAAAATAATAATTATTGTGACCTTAAGAATGTTGTAAGAGAAAAGATAATTCGCCCTTATTAAACTCGCCAGATCATTTTCCATCAATGGATGTCGATTTAACTTGTTTTGACTGCTATGATTAATCAATAAGGCCCAAGGATGTGTGGTATATGGCCAATATACCACGACTAAGGGCTGTTCTTAGGACACAGCCCTTAGCCGTGATATGTTGGCCATCTACCACTAACCCCTGAGGTGCCTTATTGCTATTGTTGTGAATTATTATTAATGAACTGTAGAGTTTAATGGACTATGAGGTAGAACTGGGTTAATCAAGAGCATAGAGTGCAGTGCCTTCAAAATGTATTTACACCCCTTGACATTTTCCAGCCTGAATTTTAAATTGATTAAATGCAGATTTTGTGTCATTGGCTAAACACAATACCCCATAATATCAAAGTGAAATTATATATATTTTTTTACAAATTAATAAAAAATTAAAAGCTGAAATGTTTTGAGTTTAAGTGTTAAGCTGCTTTTCTAATGGCGAACCTAAATAAGCAATAGTAGTGTTAACATTATTTTTGAATGAATACCTTATCTCTATACCCCTCAGTCGAGCAGTGAATTTCAAACACAGATTCAACCACAAAGACCAGGGAGGTTTTCCAATGCCTTGCAAAGAAGGGTATCTATTGATCAGACATTGAATCTCTGAGCATGGTGAAGTTATTGATTACACTTTGGATGGTGTATCAATACACCCAGTCACTACAAAGATACAGGCGTCCTTCCTGACTCTGTTGACGGAGAGGAAGGAAACCGCTCAGAGATTCCACCATAAGGCCAATGGTGACTTTAAAACAGAGTTTAATGGCTGTGATGGGAGAACTAAGGATGGGTCAACAGCATTGTAGTTACTCTACAATACTAACCTAATTGACAGTGAAAATAATGAAACCTGTACAGAAAAAAAATATTCCAAAACGTGCATCCTATTTTCAACAAGGCACTAAAGTAATACTGCAAGAAATGTGGCAAAGCAATTCACTTTTTGTCCTGAATACAAAGTGCTATGTTTGGGACAAATCCAATTCAACACAGTGAGTACCACTCTCCATATTTTCAAGCATAGAGGTGGTTGCGTCATGTTATGGGTATGCTTGTAATTGTTAAGGACTTGAAGTCCTTAAAAATAATAATGGGCAAATATTGCACAATCCAGGTGTGGAAAGCTCTTTAGACTTACCCAGAAAGACTCACCACTGTAATCGCTGCCAAAGGTGCTTCTACGAAAGTATTGATTCAGGGGTGTGAATACTTATGTAAATGAGATTTCATTTTCAATAAATTTGCTAACATTTCTAAACATGTTTTCATTTTGTCATTATGGGGTATTGTGTGTGTGTGTGTGTAAATGGATGGGGTGGGGGGGATCTATTTAGTGAATTCAGGCTGTAACACAACAAATGTGGAATAAGTCAAGGGGTATGAATACTTTCTGAAGGCACTGTATATTCTTATATTTGTGATATTTTACCTTGCCTCGCTGGCTATCCTCCGACATCTGCGATGTTGTAGACGATAACCATCTGATAACGTGTTTAACTTGCATGCGCTGCATCTGAATATAATGTAAACAAGCCCCTTTCTGATTCGAAACTGCACGCACAACTTTTTGACGTGGCCAGGAAATATGTCTATAGGAGCACCCTTATTGGTGCATGCCATAGTTTACACAATCTCCTTTAAATGACTGTAGTCCAGGGGTCTCCAACCTTTTCTAGCATGAGAGCTACTTTTAAAAGATCGAACATGTCGTGAGCAACTTTTTTTTTTTTTTGGGGGGTGGCTATCAAATGGGCACATTCTCTTCTCTCCCCTGTAACTCTTCCCGGGTTCTTGGTGTACAAGAGAAAGTAGTGCACTATGTTTTCTGTCAATGTACCTGGTAAAATAACGGTTAATAAACAACTCTAAGGGGGGCCCAATACAATCTGATGTTTTCTATTTTCCCAAATTATGTTCTCACTTTTATTAATCACTTAAAATTACAATTGTTAATGGAGAAACAATGAAATTGGATGTTCTGAGTCATGTCAATATTTTAAATCAAATCAGAATATATATTTTTAATTTAATTCCACATCTGGGCCTTTTTTAATTGCGCATCTAGCAAGTGTATGTGCCTTCTAATGTGCCAGTCTAGCGATGGTTCTGTACTGCTGCTGCTCATGTCATGGCAAAGTTTACAAATAATATATACAAATGATATACTTACTCATTATATACTTCTGCCAGGTAAGCCTACTTTGCTGTTAACATTAGAATTGAGAAGGTTTTGGAGAAATTATTTCTGTCAACCCACAAGACTAAACTGGCTACTACACACGGAGCGATAAACAAACGAGCGCACCACACAGACCTGCATATTGCTGGAAATTAATTGGCAGATATTGTTAGGTTTGGCTTTTTAAGCCAATCGTGGCTAACTAGGGGTGGGATAATGTCAATGTTGCGTTCATTAAATGGTAGCTGTGAGCTGGCGGTGTCTGATACTTGTGAGATTTGTTTGACAGTTTGCGGTGGAACACGTGAAAATTGCATCTACTTTCAGAATTGTTTGGCGAGCTACTCATAGGTGGGCTGCACGCTACTAGTAGCTCGCGATCTACCTGTTTGAGACCCCTGCTGTAGGCCATTGTTAAAGGGATACTTCACCCAAATTTCAACATTAGGTAGATGGTTCCTTACTGTGAAAGATGTCTAAGTAGAGCCTGTATATGTGTAGAATTGCAGTTAAGTGGATGCTAGTGCCCCATAGCTAATTGCAGTTCTCCAGTTATAAATGTAATCTGTATACCAGTGTGCACTGCCTTAAGTGTATTGTGTGTGTCAGGCACCAACCTGCAGGCGCTGATGGAGCAGGCCAAGAGAACGTCCAGCTCAGCAGAGATCGTGGTGGTGATCTCCAATAGGCCGGGGGTTCTGGGCCTCAAAAGGGCCTCTCTGGCCGGCATTCAGACACGGGTAGTTGACCATAAGCTGTACGGTAGCCGGGCAGAGTTTGACGGCACCATTGACCGCGTGCTGGAGGAATTCGATGTGGAGGTGGTGTGTCTCGCCGGCTTCATGAGGATCCTGACAGGGTCCTTCGTCAGGAAATGGAACGGTAGGACCACCCAGCTTTGTGTGTATTTTTATGTGATGTCTATGTATCACACAGAAAACGGTGATTTGATCCAAAAAAGCATTCCTTAACTTCACTTGCTCTCCCTTGAAGTTATATGGGGTAAAGAATGCTTTTTGAAATGATCAAATCCCTCAGTCGAGCACCCGATTCTTTTCCTTTTTTTGATCAAGCTGGGCTGGAGCGTGTTTGGGTACGCTTTCACTCTATTAACAATGCTTTGATATTATGTTTGTGCGAGTGTGTGCACATATGTGAGAATTCATGTATTTTGTGTGTTGTAGGAAAACTGCTGAACATCCATCCGTCCCTGCTGCCCGCATTCAAGGGGGTGAATGCCCAGAAGCAGGCTCTACAGGCGGGGGCACGGGTCACTGGCTGCACCGTCCACTTTGTGGCTGTAAGTACTGTACTGAGAACAGGTCCTGCCTCTGCTCACCAATACTAACCATAACTGGATGTTGGTATAGAAATGAGCTCAGATCAGAAATGAGCCCCCCGTGGGCCTCCTGTAGCTCAGTTGGTAGAGCATGGAGCTTGCAACGCCAGGGTTGTGGGTTCGATTCCCACAGGGGGCCAGTATGAAATGTATGCACTCACTAACTGTAAGTCGCTCTGGATAAGAGTGTCTGCTAAATGACTTAAAGATGTGAAGAAATCTGATCTTAAAGCCAAACGTATCCTGTGTTTCCTGCTCCACTGCAGAACATGGTTGAAAAATGTTCCATTTGAAAATGGATGCACATTTAGTTTGTTATCCATATCTTGATTTCGAAAGGGCTTTATCCAGAAACAACCCCTCACCCTCTAGGGCTAGGCACATGTTGATCCAAACGGATTTCTCTGATACATTAGGTGGAATTATAGCCATATTGCTTAGACCTATCCAATCCTTTCAGATACATAAGTGCCTAGGGTTAGAGGCTATGGGTTGTTCCGGGACAGGACCGTAGACTTAGATAGACGACTCATCTTTTGTGTCTGTGAGTGCACAGACGGTGCCATTGAGGCCATTTCCATTTTGAAGTAGTCAGTTATTCTACTACTATGAGTTGGTAACAAACTGAAAGGGTGCATACTGCCACCTGGAGTGTGTTTTAAACAGGTATAAAGCCAATGTTGACGATTTACTGCCACCTGCAGTTATGGAATGTTTTCTCACGATTATAATTCATTGGCTGATCCCTTGATATGACCTGGATGAAATTATGTGATCTTTCCTTAACCCATATGAAGTCCCACCCAGTTGACTACTTAAAAATGGCGATGCCCATGCTAAAACAGGCTTTTGGGCACGGAGTCGTCTATGGACAGGACCTAAATATTACCCTGCCTTAACTTTTGTCCACAGGAAGAGGTTGATGCCGGGGCCATCATTGCGCAGGAGGCGGTGCCTGTGTTGATGAATGACACCGAGGAGAGCCTATCAGATCGCATCCGGGAGGCAGAGCACCGGGCCTTCCCTGCCGCCCTGGAACTGGTGGCCGGGGGCGGTGTGAGGTTGGGGGATGACGGACGCATCGTCTGGAACCCCAACACGCAGGGCTAAACCTCACCACAGTACCAACCACACCTGCCCAAACACACCCTGGCCCCCATCCCCAAAATACCCTACCTCAAAATACATTGGCCCCCACCTAAATGCAGTGGCTCTACTGACCTGCGTAGTAAATGTCTCCCATAGCCTTTTGCTGAAAAGTCAACCTCTTATTGTTATAATAGATATTTGGTCAAACAACTAGGCTATAATGGAATTCTTCAAAGACCATACCTCCCTCCCTCGTCTCTGTAGCCACACTGTTTTCTTCCAGATACATTCCTTGTGCCATTGCTACAATGTCAAAATAACTAAGTAATTCCCCTTGCGCATAATGTTACAGTAGTACTTAAACTATGAATTTAGGTATATCCTCGAGACATTGCATGATGAGTCAATCAATAATGTTTTTGCTATGCCAGCTGGGAAAGTCATTATAGTTGTAGTATGAAGTGGGTTCTCTGCATATACTTTAACACTGCGTGACGATGCCGAAACTGCTATTTCTGCCTGTCCTTGCATTAAACTTGCAATGTTGAACAACTTTATTTTGTAGTTTATCGGCAAACCAGCAAGACTTCGTCACACTTAACATACGATATTAAAGTTATTGAAATGTAATGAAAGCGCTTATGACAATCTTCCCGGCAAACCAAAATCTGTTCTGTGAATGTTCTCAAAACATTTCATTAGTTTGTGGGACAGGTGTACGAACATACCAAGAGTTCCAACATAAAATATTTCAATTGTACTGATAATCATTAAATGTTCGTATTTAGGGTGCACACAACATTCCCTTGATGTTGCAACTGAAAACACTGAATTAACAAATTACCTCTTTCTCTAGTTCCGCTTTACTTTATCTGCACTCTCCTCCCCACATTTGGTGTAGGCATGGGTTAGAGGGATTTTCCACCATCTTTCTTATACTAGTCATTTACTTTCAAATGTATAAAGTGAAGTGCATACTTCAGGAGAAAGGACCCAGACCTGGGCCACATTCAAATTCTTTGAAAGTGCATCCATTGACATAATCGCCGATTACAAATGACTGGACAGGTGAAAGCCATGTGGTGGAACACTTGTGTTCACCTGTCCAATCAGTTATTACGTTAAGGCATACCCTGGATTCCTCAAGTAGTCTTTCCTCGATTCTTCTCATCTCCTCAAAGCACAATGGATCCAAGCTCCGTCCAATGAGTTTTTAGGAGTGGAGGTCAGATGACAAGAAATCGGAATAATTGAGAATGTGTAAAGCTCGCCACCATTGGACCCTGGAGCAGTGGAAACGTGTTCTCTGGAATGATGACTCACGCTTCATCATCTGGCAGTCTGACGGACAAATCTGGGTTTGGCGGATGCCAGGAGAATGCTACCTGCCCGAATGCTAGTGCCAACAAAAATTTGGTGGAGGAGGAATAATTGTCTTGGGCTGTTTTTCCTGGTTCGGGCTGTCCCTTAGTTCCAGTGAAGGGAAATATTAATGCTACAGCATACAATGGCATTGTAGATGATTCTGTGCTTCCAACTTTGTGGCAACAGTTTGGGGAAGACCCTTTCCTGTTTCAGCATGACAATGCCCCCATGCACGAAGCGAGGTCCATACAGAAATGGTTTGTCGATCGGTGTGGAAGAACTTGACTGGCGTGCACAGAGTCCTGACCTCAACCCCATCGAACACCTTTGGGATGAATTGGAACGCCGACTGCGAGCCGGGCCTAATTGCCCAACATCAGTGCCCGACCTCACTAATGCTCTTGTGGCTGAATGGAAGCAAGGATTCTGTGTTTTCACATGCAAAAGTGATTGCTTTTGATAAATGCTTTATCCACCTTCCTAATGAAAACTAGTTTAAAAAATCATTACGCAGGTTGCTGTCAGAGCAGCTTACCGATCACTGCACCTGTACACAGCCCATCTGCAATTAGCCCACCCAACTACCTCATCCCCATATTGTTATTTACATTGTTATTTATTTTGTTCATTTGCACCCCAGTATCTCTATTTGCACATTATCTTCTGAACATCTATCACTCCAGTGTTAATACTAAATTGTAATTATTTTGCACTATGGCCTATTTATTGCCTTACCTCCATAACTTACTACATTTGCACACACTGTATATAGATTTTCTATTGTGTTATTGACTGTACGTTTTTTGTTTATTCCATATATAACTCTGTGGTGGTGTTTTGAATCGCACTGCTTTGCTTTATCTTGGCCAGATCGCAGTTGTAAATGACGAGATGGGTCCCATTATGCCCTTGTGAAAACCAAACACTGCATTCCACAGTAAGAACATCATACCAAAGGTCAAGTATGGTGGTGTGATGCTTTGCTGCCTCAGGACCTGGACGACTTGCCTTAATAGAAGGAACCATGAATTCTGCTCTGTATCAGAGAATTCTACAGGAGAATGTCAGACCATCCGTCTGTGAGCTGAAGCTGAAGCGCAGCTGGGTCATGCAGCAAGACAATGATCCAAAACACACAATCAAGTTTACATGACAAATGCTAAAAAGCAACAAATTGGAAGTTTTGGAATGGCCTAGTCAAAGTCCAGACCTAATCCCAATTGAGATGTTGCAGGACTTGAAACGAGCAGTTCATGCTTGAAAACCCACACGTCACTGAGTTAAAGCAGTTCTGCATGGAAGAGTGGGCCAAAATTCCTCCACTGCGACGTGAGAGACTGATAAACAACTACAGGACGCATTTGTTTGGAGTCATTGCAGCTAAAGGTGGCACAACCAGTTATTGAGTGTAAGGGGGCAATTACTTTTTCACACAGGGGAATTGGGTGTTGCATAACTTTGTTTATGAAATAAATGTAATTGTGTTATTTGTTCACTTATGTTCCCTTTATCTAATATTAGGTTTTGGTTGACGATCTGATAACATTCAGTATCACAAATATGCAAAAGTAGAGAAAATTAGAAAGGGGGCAAATAGTTTTTCATAGCACTGTAATTTACAAAAGAAGCATTTGTGTTTAGTGAGTCCACCAGATCAGAGGCAGTAGGGATGACCAGGGATATGCTCTTGATTAGTGTATGAGTACATCTGGGTGTCAGGTAAAATGTATGGAGTAAAAAGTACATTATTTCCTTTAGGAATGTAATGAAGTAAAAGTCAAAGTTGCCAAAAATATAAATAGTAAAGTACAGATACCCCAAAAAACTACTTATGTAGTACTTTAAGGTATTTTTTACTTAAGTTCTTTACATCACTGGTAGTCAGCATGTCAGTTCAACCTGGTACTGTACATGTACAACATGTCTTCAATACTGACACAGACTGGATCCTCTCCCAATACAAACAGGTTCAAGGGAACTTGAACACTCCTTAGCATGGACAACCTGTGAACCTTTGTACTGTATAGTGCATTGGGTAAAGGTCTTGAGACATGGTCACTTATTTGACCAATGCTGCTATGAACCCACGATGGTTTTCACTCAATTTACGGTCCTGTCCTTGGGAGGGATCAGTTTACCACTCCTGGTTGTTGAGATGAAGCTGAACCCGCTGTGGTCCTGGTGTGGTCGGAGCAGCAGGTTCATGGTCTCGTCTGTGGTTCAGCTGTGGTCGAGGGACAGGGAGGGTCACATTGTTCTGTGGAAGCGCAGCACAGAGAGGCTCTCTGGCCCAGTTCGTCTGGACAGACAGGGCACCCCCTGCAGGCCAGACTTCCTCAGCAGAGTGGTGATCTCCTCTGGTGGAAGAAACAGGTTACAGTAAGGTAGTGTTCATTAGGTATCAGATGGAAGGAAACGAACTGAAACAGGGATGAATTGTCTAGATTTGTCCAATAAGAAACACTTTGTTTTGTTGCAGAGACCAGTGTTGTGGTATTCAATGGTAATTACATTTTAATGATCCCACCTACATACTGCAGTCATAGTGTCACTCACTCATTCTGCACAAATGACAGAAACATATTCCAAGGAGTGGTATTCTAACCATGGACCTAAACAAGCTATGCAGGGTAGACCGCTTTTCTCACAAAGGTAGTAAAAAATTAATCAATGCCAAATAACATCAGGCCGTATGTAACGTATCCATTGTAGCATGTATCAATGTAGACTGAGATATACATCCCAAACCAAGAAGTCAAAACCGAGAGAGGAAGTGGGAGGCTCACCTGGGTTGTTCTCTGCCACAGTGACCAGGTAAAACAACCCCTGATTAGACAGTAGCTTTGGAAGCAGGGGGAAGAACCTGTCCATCACCTCTCGGCCCCACCTCCCACCAGCCCAGGCTGCCTCGATGCCCTGGCTACCCACCTGACACACACACACACACACAGATGTTGCAGTATGCAAACACGCATACTGTAAACACAATTCCATCACTATGGTAGTCTAGTTTTCTACCTCTTCTGATGGTGTGACGACATAAGGAGGGTTGAATAAAAGAACGTCCACTTTTCCACACAACCTTGGCAAGAGAGAGTCCACCTAAAACGGAGAAGGACAGATGTGAAGTTGGGGTAAACAAATGGAGAGGAAGTGTGTTTATCTTTCTCACCAGGCCTGTGTGTGCCGGTGTTTGGAGGATATATTGGCACGGTTTGCCCAACATCTGTGCCAATATATCCTCCAAACACTGGCTTCTCTGGCATTTTCACTTAAATGGAAAATGGTTTGGAATAAAAAGGGGTGTCTCCATAATGACGAGTTAAATAGCCTAACTACAACTGGTAAAAATGTGGCATGCCGAGCGCGAGTGCTGCTCTGGCTCCTCTCACTCACGTGACCAATAGTGGACTATGCTGCTTTCTGCAGTACTCTCTCAACACACACACACACCCCTCCTGCCCTCCCCACGACTCACTCACTCAGCAACAGCCTGCCTCACTGCCTGATAGTCAGCAACAGGTCCAAGGCATAAAATTAATGTTTTGGTCCACCAGCAACTGTGGCAGGTAGATTTAAAACCAGCCACTCAGATTTTTTTAACAGCCAAAATAATTGTTTTTCTCTGAAAGATTACACCAACAAAACAAAAAAACGGATGAGCATGCTTTGTAATGTTTTACTAGTAAGAAGTAATGTGGTATATTGTTTAATTTAATGATTTTTTGTGACCTGAGTCTTTTAACCAAAATATATCACAGATGAGAAAAGTTAACCTGCCCCTTTAAGGGCTATGAGGTTACCGTGGTAATGTGACTAGAGTCACGTTGTGCCTGTGAGATTGAGTCTGACTTGTAGCAGCATTGTCTTCCCTTCCCTAGCAGTTTAAACTCAAACATTGAAAAACAACCTAGCTTGTGAACAAAACAATGTAAATAGCCAAGAAACAAGGACAAAGTCTCACTTCAGTAGACTTTCGTTTCAAGTAAATTAGACCGACTTTTATGCCTGTGGGCAAAGCTTCTAAAAATTAATCTTTCACTCCGCTCTTCACATGCACACAGCCCCCAGCCAGGCAGTGTTCCAGCGCGAGGTGGGATAGGCTATAGGATTCGTAGTTCCTTGACTTTGTGCGATTAATTTACAAGCTATGAAGCCAAACGGCAGAAATACTTTGAAAACAGCTACTGCAGCATTTTACTATGAATGTGATCATACTTGACTATTTTTATTCACAAATGCGAGTGAAATGCTCACACTGTGGAGCTCTGACCACCCGCCAACGTGGCTGGTGAAATAGACCCGCCAATGCCCAAATCTATCCGCATTTGGCAGGTGTTCATTTTAGGCCCTGAGCAGGTCACAGTGAAATACATTTGCCATGGCGTCCGCGGTGCAACTTTCATCTAGCCCAAAAACCCGCGAACAATACATTTTCACCCGTGACATCGTTTTCAAAGTAGCCCAATTTCGCTTGAAAACTACGAACATGGCAACCCTGACTCAGGAGGAAATGAAAAGCATTCGATTTTGAGATGGGGTGAAATCCAAAGTTGTGGTATATATTCATTGGCTATATCATAGCTGGTTTTTAAAGATAAATATTGATACATTACTAGCTCAAACACCTTGAATCTGCAAAAATGAAAAATGTATTAGTGGATCATGGTGATTTCAGATCAAAAGTGGGGGGACAAAAAGCAAACATTGCCCCCCTTATCTGATAGTTGGGTGGTAGATGCCCAGTTTCCCTTATGGCTCTGTCGTAGCCGGCCGCGACCAGGAGACCCATGGGGCGGCGCACAATTGGCCCAGCATCGTCCAGGGTAGGGGAGGGAATGGCCGGCAGGGATGTAGCTCAGTTGGTAGAGCATGGCGTTTGCAACGCCAGGGTTGTGGGTTCGATTACCACGGGGGGCCAGTATGAAAAAATAATAATTAATGTATGCACTCACTAACTGTAAGTCGCTCTGGATAAGAGCGTCTGCTAAATGACTAAAATGTAAATCAGAGAGAGAGGAAGAGAGAGTCCCAACTCTGTGGAAAATCTGTCTCCCTCCAGCAGGTAGCGTTGTTTCGCCCACCAAGCAAGGAGTTTTTGTATGGAGGTCAATGAGTGTCTAATTTGGTCAGCAATTTTTTTTTATAGATTATCTGCTATGTGAGATTTATTTGATCGAATAGAAGTTTCGTAATGCTTAAGTTGTTATGAGTGTATTGAGATAAGTAGGACACGTGACATCCCGGCAACATTGAGAAAGATAACTTTATATCGGAGTTGTCTCAAGATGGCTATGCATATTCATGTCATGAGGCTAGTAGCACAGTATCTCTCTCCATTGAATACAGGTTGTTGACATCAACAACCATCGAATATTCAAAAACGGATTAGAATAATGAGATGTATCCACCAATCCAAAGAAAGGATAGGCGGGAGCTAGACAGCCCGCCGTGCCGCTTTGTGGACAACGACTCACATTGTTAGGGCGGATGGCATCGAACTGAATCGCATTAATTTGTTCCTCTAATCAAACTGAATCGTTTCAAACCAAAACGTATCGTATCTGAGCCCATGTATCTAGATACGTATTTAATCGTTTTGAAAGGGAAAGATGCACATCCCTAGTGTGTGTGTGTGTCTCACCAAGTCCGTGATGATGGGCTGCAGACTAACGCCGTTACAGCGAGACGTCTCCAGAGTGCACTGGGCTGCTTCAGGGTTCACGTCGGTACAACTGGGGAGGACACACACACACACCAGTCAAACACACATACAAGTCACAAGCCCTCTAGACAAAGGTATCTTTTACAAAATGTCCTAAACAGATATAGGCATGTTACTAACGCACATGCTAACAAACAAACCAACAAACAGTCAGTCAGTCAGAGTCCCTCGCTCACTCACTGTCACACACACCTACTCACAGGTATAGAGCTGTAGGTCCGATCACGGATGCCAGGAAGGCGGACACCACCCCAGAGCCACTGCCCACCTCTAGACACACAGAGGGGCTGGAGGAGAGGGTCAAAGGTCAGTAACTGTATTGTTGACCAGTAACAGGTATTAGGGTGGTGTTCATTAGGGCACGCAACAGAAAACATTTGAAACCGTTTTGCAACGGAAAGCGAAAATTCTTATTGGACAAATCCAGGGAGTCCCTCCCTTTTCAGTCTCTTTTCTTCCGTTTGGTGCCTAATGAACACAACCAAGGGTCATTTTCACTAGATACCAAACAGATCGAAACAGGGAATGGCTCCCTGAACTGGTCCAATAAGAAACTCATTTTTGTTGCAAAGCATTTACTGTTGCAAAATGTTTTGCTACGGTGTGCACTAATGAATACAACACAGGTATCGTCACAATCTGCTCACCTAATTTTCTTCAGTCTGTCAGCATCCTGCTCAAGGGCATCGATCAAGAGGAAGGTGTCCTCAGCTGGCTCGTACACGTCAGTGAAAGGCCCGCGGCCCGCGTGGGAGTACAAGGGGGTGGGATAGGACATCTGGCCCACTGGTTTACACACAATGTCAGGCAGGGGACAGTGATGTGCTCCACGTCATGAGGCCATCCTTGATGGTCCACTCATTTGGCCCGACTAGATGCTGTACAGAGATGGACACACACAGAACTATTAGGTAAATGTCTGTCATCCGAAGGTTGACACAAAGTGCTGGAACTCTGAGACAGGATAGATTTCAGACAACTGGTAGAGGTCAAGGGGTTATTGGATGGTCATAGGAAGTCATTTCAGCCAAGAAATAACAACTGCACTAAATGAACCCAAACAGCGCCTTGGGTGGCGATAATTCTGAGACCACTGACCATAGGCATAAATGTCTTTTAGGGAGCGCAACCAATGACTGAGTTCAATAGAAGCTCTTTACATTTCATGAAGCTGTTAAAACTTCATGACAGTATTTTCACATATTTCCGACATTTTAACAAGCAGTGTTTTAACTGCACCAAACACCTCCAGCCATGTAAAAGTGTGGAAAAACAAAAGGATTAGGCTAAGTGCCATTTCTGGGTGCCATTTACGATGTCTGATGACCATTATACACTCATAAACAACTAACTTTCACCTTAATAAACTGCTAGGCACGATGCTGTGGTGCATAGACATATTTAAGTAGCTGTGGGTCATAAACCTACACTGAACAAAAATATTACAGTTCATTTGAGGAAATCAGTCAATTTAAATAAATTCATTAGGCCCTAATCTATGGATTTCACATGACTGGGAATTAGGGCTGGGCGATATGGCCAAAATATCATATCACAATATTTTTTTAATTAGACAATATTTGATGTTTTTGAATAATAAAAGTTCAACATTTGCTTTATGAGTAGTGCGTGACCCTAGGGTGGCAACACATACATTCTAAGTGATTTCAATGGGTCTTTCTCCATTCTGATTGTTTTATCCTGTTCAATTCAACCACATAATATTCAGCATTTTCATCAATTTCTGCATTTCCTGCACTCATTTGAGATCATTTCCACACTGCCATGTAGGGCACGATATGGGCAAACAATCTATGCCTTATTTTTAACCAAATGTTGCAATTTAGAGCAAAACACTTGGGCGAACTGTTGGAATCATGGAAAAATACTGATTATTCTAATTCTATAGTTAGAATATAATAGCGAGCACTTTGAATGCAGTGTTTGAAATGACAACAAATGAAAATGCCAGGGAGGAGTTATTGTGACAGGGTAGCAACCAAAGTGTTGACAAGTGATTCTTAGGGGACCCTATGTTTTCTCTTAGCTACTTCATGTAGCTAACATATTCCTCTTTGATTTAGAAGATACTGTTGCACAAAAAAACATACAGATGTAGGTCTATACCATTACTGGTATTATCAGGCTGTATAGCTAGTTCGTTTGCTCTGACTCAGTACATGTATTAGCTAGCGATTAGCATTAGTGGCTAACAAGATTTAGGCCCAACTTACTAAGAAATGACAAACTAGCTGTTTTGCAGATGTAAGAAACACAAACTAATAGTCTAATTATAGAACGCTAGTGGATTTATATTAAGAAGCAAGTGAAAACAGCATCGTTGTCATCAACATTGTTGCATGTGCTGAATTGACCATTAGGAATCTAAACGCAAGTGTCTCGTGCCTTAAGTGACAGCGGGCGGGGCTAGGTCTGTGTGGAAAGCGGCATGGAGAGAGATGACTCAAGTAGCGAAGTAAACTATAAAAATTGACATTACACATGGGATATCACATTTAACAAACCAAACATTCAAATACCGTTGTAGAAGGTAAAGTAAAAACCCAAACCGGGCCGTGCATCAATACTGGTATATTGTAAAATACGGTATACCGCCCAGCCCTACTGGGAATGCAGATATGCATCTGTTGGTCACAGATACCTTAAAAAAAAAAAAGAAAGAAAGAAGATAGGGACATGGATCAGAAAACCAGTCAGTATCTGGTGTGACCACCATTTGCCTAAAGCAGCGCGACATCTTCTTCACATAGAGTTGATCAGGCTGCTGATTGTGGCCTGTGGAATGTTGTCCCTCTTCAATGGCTGTGTGAAGTTGGTGGATATTGGCGGGAACTGGAACACGCTGTCATAACCGTCGATCCAGAGCATCCTAAACATGCTCAATGGGTGACATGTCTGGTGAGTATGCAGGCCGGTGAGTATGCAGGCCATGGAAGAACTGGGACATTTTCAGCTTCCAGGAATTGTGTACAGATCCTTGCAACATGGGGCCTTGCATTATCATGCCGAAACATGAGGCGGATGAATGGCACGACAATGGGCCTCAAGATCTCGTCATGGTATCTCTGTGCATTCAAAATTAAATTAAATGCAATTGTGTTTGTTGTCCGTAGCTTATGCCTGCCCATACCATAACCCCACCGCCACCATGGGGCACTCTGTTCACAACGTTGACATCAGCAAACCGCTCGCCTACACGACACGCTGTCTACCATCTGCCCGGTACAGTTGAAACCAGGATTCATCCGTGAAGAGCACACTTATCCAGCGTGCCAGTGGCCATCGAAGGTGAGCATTTGCCCACTGAAGTCAGTTACAACGCCGAACTGCAGTCAGGTCAAGACCCTGGTGAGGACGACGAGCACCCAGATTAGCTTTTTGTGCGTATGGAACATTTCTGGGATCTTTTATTTCAGCTCATGAAACATGGGACCAACACTTTAGATGTTGCATTTACATTTTTGTTTAGTATATTTAAGTAGTGATTGAGGAGGGGGCAATTCGACTGTAAATGAATTATGCTGAGACTTTAAAATATATTACAAACATTGGTTTGAAAGTTTAAGAAACCATACAACTATGCACAATGACTACATTGAATAATTTACACAGTAAAAAAAACGAAACAATCATTTACTGCAAAAACTGTGCAAATGCAAAGTTTGGTAACAGAATTACGGTAAAATCTCCCTCAGTTTTATTGTGTTACGAAACTTTATCTGCACAGTTCAAATGTGCATAGAGTTGTCTGGTTTGTTAAACTTTAAAATCAATGTTTTTTGTTTGGTATAATTTTAAAGTGAGAAATCTGAGTCTCAGGAATTCTGTTGCCATGGAATTGCTAGAGGAAAGGTCAGAGTAGGGTTTGAACCGGGGACCTTGTGCACTACTACCTGTACCATAAAAGCTTGGACTTCTGTGCAGAGGCAGTAACTCACTCATATACAGGGAGGCTTCACTATCCCCTTTCTCTGGAAGGTCCCTGCACATAAAACAGGGGAACACATCCAACAGTGGCCTGAGAGACTATCCCACAGCAGCCACCAATGTAGCGATTAAAAGGGAACTTTACCCTTTCTAAACGTTTTTTAAAAATTGCATTGTTTAGAAGGAGCGCAAAGGCGAATTGTGTTATTGCACAGGCACACTTCAGAGTAGGTGTTCCCTAACGGAAATATGCAGATGCAGGCTAGAACACGCCAATAGGAGCCTATCCCAGCCTGACTCTGCCCACCTCCTTGCTTGTTCGAACCACTGACTCATTTGTTCCCATTAGAAATGACAGGCTGTGGTCTAGCTTGGTTTAGTTATAAAAATCTTAGTCTATACCAGTGTTATTGGTGCGTTCAAGACAACTGGGAACTCGGAAAAATACGAGATTAATCATGACTCATTGATCTTCAGGTCAGAAAGTCGGAGCTCTGGAAAGAGGCCCGAGTTCCCGACTTGGCCAAAGACTCCAAATATACAGGTGCAGCTCAAATAAATTAGAATATTGTGGAAAAGATAAGTAATTTCAATAATTCAATTGACAAAGTGAAACTCATATCATGGATTAATTACACAAAAAGTGAAATAGTTCAAGCCTGTATTTGTTTTAATCTTGATGATTAAGGCTTACAGCTCATGAAAACCCCAAATTCAGTATCTCAGAAAATTAGAATATTGTGAAAAAGTTCAATATTGTAGACTCAAGGAGTCACACTCTAATCAGCTACTAACTCAAAACACCTGCAAAGTTTCCTGAGCCTTTAAATGGTCTCTCAGTCCAGTTCAGTAGGCTTCACAATCATGGGGAAGACTGCTGACTTGACAGTTGTGCAGAAGACAGTCATCAACACCCTCCACAAGGAGGGAAAGCCTCAAAAGATCATTGCTAAAGAAGCTGGCTGTTCAGAGTGCATTATGCAAGCGTATTCGTGGAAAGTCGAGTGGAAGGAAGAAGTGTGGTAGGAAAATGTGCACAAGCAACAGGGATAACCGGAGCCTTGAGAGGATTGTCAAGCAAAGGCCATTCAAAAATGTGGGCAAGGAGTGGACTGAGGCAGGAGTCAGTGCATCAAGAGCCACCACGCACAGATGTATCCAGGAAATGGGCTACAACTGTCGCATTCCTCGTGTCAAGCCACTCCTGAACCAGAGGCAACGTCAGAAGTGTCTTACCTGGGCTAAGGAGAAAAATAACTGGTCTGTCGCTCAGTGGTCCAAAGTCCTCTTTTCAGATGAAAGTAAATTTTACATTTAATTTGGCAATCAAGGTCCCAGAGTCTGGAGGAAGAGTGGAGAGGCACAGAATCCAAGTTGCTTGAAGTCCAGTGTGAAGTTTCCAGTCAGTGATGATTTGGGAAGCCATGTCCTCTTCTGGTGTTGGTCCACTGTGTTTCATCAAGTCCAAAGTCAACTCAGCCATCTACCAGGAAATGTTTGAGCACTTCATGCTTCCTTCTGCTGACAAGCTTTATGTAGATGCGATTTCATTTTCCAGCAGGATTTGGCACCTGCCCACACTGCCAAAGGTACCAATACCTGGTTCAATGACCATGGGATTACTGTGCTTGATTGGCCAGCAATCCCACCTGATCTGAACCCCATAGAGAATTTATGGGGTATTGTCCTTCTGATAACCAGGTGGCGAATCGCATCTCTGCATGTCTGGCAGACATATCAGTATGGATGACGGATCACCACCTCAAGCTGAACCTTGGCAAGACGGAGCTGCTCTTCCTCCCGGGGAAGGACTGCCCGTTCCATGATCTCGCCATCACGGTTGACAACTCCGTTGTGTCCTCCTCCCAGAGTGCGAAGAGCCTTGGCGTGACCCTGGACAACACCCTGTCGTTCTCCGCTAACATCAAGGCGGTGACCCGATCCTGCAGGTTCATGCTCTACAACATTCGGAGAGTACGACCCTGCCTTACACAGGAAGCGGCACAGGTCCTAATCCAGGCACTTGTCATCTCCCGTCTGGATTACTGCAACTCACTGTTGGCTGGGCTCCCTGCCTGTGCCATTAAATCCCTACAACTCATCCAGAATGCCGCTGCCCGTCTGGTGTTCAACCTTCCCAAGTTCTCTCATGTCACCCCGCTCCTCCGCACACTCCACTGGCTTCCAGTTGAAGCTCGCATCTGTTACAAGACCATGGTGCTTGCCAATGGAGCTGTGAGGGGAACGGCACCTCCGTACCTTCAGGCTCTGATCAGTCCCTACACCCAAACGAGGGCATTGCGTTCATCCACCTCTGGCCTGCTGGCTCCCCTTCCTCTGCGGAAGCATAGTTCCCGCTCAGCCCAATCAAAACTGTTCGCTGCTCTGGCACCCCAATGGTGGAACAAGCTCCCTCACGGCGCCAGGACGGCGGAGTCGCTCACCACCTTCCGGAGACATTTGAAACCCCACCTCTTTAAGGAATACCTGGGATAGGATAAAGTAATCCTTCTACCCCCCCCCCCCCCCTAAAACAAAAAATTTGTAAAGTGGTTATCCCACTGGCTATAGGGTGAATGCACCAATTTGTAAGTCCTCCCGAGTGGCGCAGTGGTCTAAGGCACTGCATTGCAGTGCTAGCTGTGCCACTAGAGATCCTGGTTCGAATCCAGGCTCTGTCGTCAAGAGGAAGATGAGATATGAGACCCAACAATGCAAACGAGCTTAAGGCCGCTATCGAAGCAACCTGGGCTTCCATAACACCTCAGCAGTGCCACAGGCTGATCGACTCCATGCCACGCCGCATAGATGCAGTGATTCATGCAAAAGGCGCCCCAACCAAGTACTGACTGCATGTAAAAGAACATACTTTTCAGAAGGCCGACATGTCTGTATTCAATGTCCTTTTTTCACTGGTCTTATGTCATATTCAAATTTTCTGAGATACTGAATTTGGGGTTTTCATGAGCTGTAAGCCATAATCATCAAGATTAAAACAAATACAGGCTTGAACTATTTCACTTTTTCTGTAATTAATCCACGATATGAGTTTCACTTTGTCAATTGAATTATTGAAATTACTTAACTTTTCCACAATATTTCCCAGTCGGATCTCGTTTTTTCCGAGTTCCAAGTTGTCGTGAACGCTCGGAGGTCGGAGATTTCTGAGTTGTTCTGAACGCGGCATTAGTCGGTGTAGACTGATTTGATGAGGAGAGCTGAATGACCCCGCGTTAGCGTTCTAGCTAACGTTAGCTAGGCTTACGAGAATGCGTTTAAAAGACGTTGCACTATCACTATGTAATGCGTTTACATGCCAAATTCAACGACACTGACTGACAATGTAAGATCAATTGTTCATTGTTAGATTATATAGCTACAAGTTACATTTACCTGAAGTTTTTGGTATGATACGTTTGTTTGAAGCTGAGGAAGAGGAGCACGTGAAGCTAGCTAGATGTTTCTTCCTGTTGTGTTGCAGTGCATTGTGGGAATTGTAGTCCTGAGTAGCAGACGGGTTGCAATACTCATGATAGGAATTATTTTTTTTTAAAGTGGAAGATTAGAATAAAAGAGTAGAAGAAAAAAGTTACTAGAGGGAAATGAGTCAAGTAACAGTACTGATGTTGATTGATGCTGATTTCTGATTTTTTTAAATCAACATCAGCAGATATAGACTACCAGTCAAAAATTTGGACACACCTTCAAGGGTTCAAGGGTTTTTCTTTATTTGTACAATTTTCTACATTGTATAATAATAGTGTAGACATCAAAACTATGAAATAACACGTATGGAATCAAGTAGTAACCAAAAAAGTGTTAAACAAACTGGAATGCATTTCAATTAATAGGTGTGCCTTCTTAAAAGTTAATTTGTGGAATTTCTTTCCTTCTTAATGCGTTTGAGCCAATCAGTTGTGTTGTGATAAGGTACGGGGGGTATACAGAAGATAGCCCTATAAGTCCAATTCCATATTATGGCAAGAACAGCTCAAATAAGCAAAGAGAAACGACAATCCATCATTACTTTAAGACATGAAGTCCAGTCAGTACTCAACATATCAATAACTTTTAAAGTTTCTTCAAGTGCAGTCGCAAAAGCCATCAAGCGCTATGATGAAACTGGCTCTCATGAGGACTGCCACAGGAATGGAAGACCCAGAGTTACCTCTGCTGCAGAGGATAAGTTCATTAGAGTTACCAGCCTCAGAAATTGCAGCCTAAATCAATGCTTCACAGAGTTCAAGTCACAGACACATCTCAACATCAACTGTTCAGAGGGGACTGTGTAAATCAGGCCTTCATGGTCGAATTGCTGCAAAGAAACCACTACTAAAGGACACCAATAAGAAGAAGAGACCTGCTTGGGCCAAGAAACACGAGCAATGGACATTAGACCGGTAGAAATGTGTCCTTTGGTCTGGAATCCAAATTGGAGATTTTTGGTTCCAACCGCCGTGTCTTTGTGAGATGCGTTGTGGGTGAACGGATGATCTCCGCATGTGTAGTTCCCACCGTAAAGCATGGAGGAGGAGGTGTGATGGTGTGGGGGTGCTTTGCTGGTGACACTGTCTGTGATTTATTTAGAATACAAGGCACACTTAACCAGCATGGCTACCACAGCATTCTGCAGCGATACGCCATCCCATCTGGTTTGGGCTTAGTGGGACTATCATTTGTTTTTCAACAGGACAATGACCCAACACACATCCAGGCTGTGTAAGGACTATTTTACCAAGAAGGAGAGTGATGGAGTGCTGCATCAGATGACCTGGCCTCCACAATCCCCCGACCTCAACCCAATTGAGATGATTTGGGATAAGTCGGACGGCAGAGTGAAGGAAAGGCAGCCAACAAGTGCTCAGCATATGTGGGAACTCCTTCAAGACTGTTGGAAAAGCATTCCAGGTGAAACTGCTCGAGAGAATGCCAAGAGTGTGAAAAGCTGTCATTAAGGCAAAGGGTGGCTATTTGAAGAATCTGAAATATAAAATATATTTTGATTTGTTTAACACTTTGTTTGTTTCTACATGGTTCCATATGTGTTATTTCATAGTTTTGATGTCTTCGGTATTATTCTACAATGTAGAAAATAGTACAAATAAAGAGAAATCCTTGAATGAGTCGGTGTGTCCAAACTTTTGACTGGTACTGTACACGCAGCAGTCTGCGTGTATATCTCAAGTCTGCGTGTCATATGGCCATTATAGTTTATGTGGGTTTGTTAACAACCAAAGAGACTGGTGATATTATTGCTCCCAGAGTGTTGGGCTTACACGCCATAACCAGACATGAAGGCACCAGGCGGGTGGTGGGTTCGTCCTTGTTGACACTGTGTCCTGCTGGTGATATTCCTAAATTGCATTACAAATGACACCCTATTCTATTCATAGGCCCTGCTCAAAAGTAGTCACTAAAGGGAATAGGGTGACATTTGGGACACAGCCCTAGGCTACTGCATGCTTCAGTGAACTATTCTGAAAAGAGACTACTTTCAAGTGTTTCCCCTTTCTAAATTAATTAAATAGGCCTGTCCCAGTAAGCAAAATGACATTGAAAATATATCTTTTAGATGTCTTTTCCAAACGTTGATGTCAGGTGCATTTTAGGTGCTGAATGAAAGGTAAAATATGTATTTTACAGACGTTGAAAATATGTATTTTCAGGATGTTGAAAACAGGTGCATTTTAGGTGCTGAACGAAATGTGAAAATACGTATTTTCCAGATGTCTAAAAGAGGTATTTTCCAGAAGTTGAAAATATGTAATTTACAGATGTTAAAAAAATACATCTATGGCCAAATTTTAACTGCAAATAAGTTCTCAATTAAGTAGATATTATGTCACAATGATAATTTTACAAGCCTCTTTATATTGGAAAGAGGAAACTGAATATTGCAACAGAATATTTATTGTTGATCCCATCTGTCACATGCACCTATGTTAGCCTTTTCAAAAGCTTTGAAACAGGCCGCAATGATGTTCAAAGTAGCCCAACTGATAGCATAAACCAACAGACCACTTCAACTACAATATAACTCTGTAACGGTTACAGATTTTTAGTTTCTTGCTATGACTGTGATATGTTGTTGTGTATCTACCTTAGTTGAATGCACTGACCAAAATGTAAATGTAAAAACCAAACACTTGCAAAGCATGCTGGTTATTATTCTAATAATCCAGCCCCCAAACAAGTACAAATTTGGTCGGTGCAGACCAGATCCAAATCTGAACGAATCACAGACATCTAGGCAATGTTTCACAGGTTTAAACATCACATTACGGCACAGTTTAGTACAGTAGAGCACAGTAGAGGGTGGTACGGTAAAGGACAGTAGAGTTTTATTCAGTAGAGTAGAGTGCAGTAGAGTTTTATTCAGTAGAGTAGAGTGCAGTAAAGTTTAATTCAGTAGAGCACAGTACAGTTTAGTTCAGTAGAGTAGGGTACATTAGAGTAAAGTAGGGTAACTTTACTTTACTGTACTCTACTGTGCTCTACTGTACTGTACTGTGCTGTGCTTTACTCTACTGTACTGTGCTGTCCAAACTTGTGAAACATAGATGTCCATGACTGGTTCAGATTTGTACCAGTCTGGACCAAATCTGAACCAATTATAGACGTCTATGTTTGGGCCAAATCAAGGCCGGCCGGACCAGACCAAATCTAAACCAAACATAGATGTCTATGTTTGGGCCAAATAAAGGCTGGTGAACCAAAACTGAACCAAACATAGACGTCTATGATTGGTTCAGATTTGGTCCGGACTCGACCAAAAATCTACGTCCTTGGATGTTGAAATCAAGGCCGGGCCGGACTGCACCAAAAAAAGAAAAGAAAAAGACAGCAGGTCCAGAGAGGACCAAAAACAGACGTTGCTTTAGGTAAATGCTTAGTGGGATTAGTGCTGGTACTGGGAGTTAAGTGTGGCTTGCTGATGCTGAGGCTTTTCAACCATAACACTCTGGACCAGAGCTAGTATACAGAGCTAGTATACTCTATGCCATATTGCCTCAGTTAGAACACTAAATGTGCTGTTTAACTCGTTAATGATCTCCTTCGCTCTGGATTACAGACACGACCGGGAACCATAAAAACAGGGCAATAAAAACATGTAATTTTTGCAAGCGGCAATTGAAAAGGCAAACTTGTTTTTAGTGGATAAATTCCTGGATCTCAAAGAGAGCCATGGATTAATAGGGGCCTACACACCAAATGGAGGCTACGCGTTGCAGGTGGGGCATAGATGGGCCGAACACCAATAACTGACTGCAGGCCTATGGGCTGCTCAGATGTGGCCACGAAGGCGCTAGTGTTATGATTGGGTGTCTCTATAGCTCCTTTCCTTACATTTCTGTGTACTATGAGGTGTTGTATGAAAAATGATGATGTGCTGGCTTGAGTTGAGCTCACCTGGTCGTGTCACTGATCCTACTCAACCTACGCTCATGGCCCTCCCTCTCTGTGACCTCTGACCTCCTGGGACCTGCCTGTAACTCTTACCTGGATTTGAGTAACCCTCCCGTTGCTGCCTCCCCCTACCTTCAGCCAGGATGTCACCCTCTACAGGGCAAATCCTAACTTTCACGAAAGCTACATTTCCACTTAGTCAAAGAATTCTAACTTCCAATAAGCTGCATTTTTACTTAGTCATGTATTGATGTCAATGGGAGACTTAAGTCAAAATGCGAAGTTAGGATTGATTGATTGAATTGATTGAATTGATTTGATTTGACAATTTGTAAAATACATACATAAGGGCGCTCCAGCCGGTGACGCCTCCACATACAATTTAAGAAAATCATCAAGGATAACACAATAAAGCTTAACAGCTTATTTCCATTGTGGTCCTTTTGAAGAGGGAAGGGGGAACAGGGAATGCAACAAGGTTAAGCGGTAATTGTAATGGCAACATACAATGACACACAAAAAGTGTTGTCTGTAAGCATTTGCCCTAAAATGAAGACTCTATATCCATAATCTTTGATTTTCATCTGCCATGCCTTCATGGGCAACTATAAATATGGAGTGAAGGTCTGATGATGGTGTTTATTGACTTTACTCAAAAAGCTTTATTTTAGCATCCGTGGCCACTGGAGGGCAGCATGGATCTTTACAATGAACAAACACACCGTCCCAGAAATTGATTGTGTGTGTGTGTGTGCACGTGTGTGTACACTATGTGTATGTGTTTTCCTGACACAGGTCTCTCTTGAATGACAAGTAAAAACATGATTGGGATTACTTTCTTTCGCTCTCCTCTGTTTTGGAAGGTTTGGAAGAGGACAAGTAGTGCTTACCCCCTAAGCATTTGACTGCATTTTTTATTCATTTTCTTTCAAAAACATTATGTTGTACGGTCTGGAATGGCCTTGATTTCAAAATCCATGGACGTAGATTTTTGGTCCAGTCCGAACAAAATCTGAACCAATCATCCACTGACGTCCGGTCCGAAAGGCCTATATTTGGTCCAAACAT